ACACAATGATTCTGAAGGATTATTTTATGTTAATGATCATCTAGATAGTTCTAAATGATCGATTAATTGAGTAAGCAACCATTTTGAGTGTAATGAACGGGAAAAGTTCGATAACTTTTGCAGTGAACGCGCCTTCCTTATCTGCAATTGTAGGGTGCTCAAATTTTTAATGTTTTAGTCATCAGATTATTGAGAGATGGCTTTGTAAGGTTTATGACTATTTGTGGAGGTAGTTACCAAGCTTTATTGATTTTTTTTAAATATGGAATTTGAAGAAGAGAAGTTTGAGGTCGCTTTCATAAGTCTTTGAATTTCCAGATTAGTTATAAATCCTATAGCTTTTTAAATTGCCTTGCTAATCACTATCATCCGAGTTTAATGCCTGCATCTCTACATTTCTCTGCGTACTGGCGATCTAGAATTTTCCAAAAAAGCGCCGCATCGCATCCGCTTGTCTCACTTGCTTTTCTTTTATGTCTGCATAGTGTCTGCTTTAATTATGAAACGGGCGCTGGATAGAATGTTCTTTTATGTGGGTCAAAATATTTCACTTGCAAAAAAGAGAATCTTTTTTATGCTGTTATTTTTATTTTTTGACGTATTTGGGAATTCATTTGAATTTTCCTTTTCTCTTATCTTTATTCTTTTTTCTACTGTAGTGACCTCTCGATCACCTCATTCTCTCTTTTTTTTCTGGCTCGGGACCATTTGCTGTTTTTTTCGCGCCACTATAATGGTGTGTCCGAAAGCCATTCTGGTCATGGAACGCGCGCGTAGCGTTCCGGGTGCAATAGCACTCAGTGCGAGAACGCCGCCGAACGCGTCGCAGCTGGCAGAGAGCGCAGGCAGCGAGAGCGTGTCGCGATGCGATTCACGTGAACGCTCTCTGTGGTCGACTGCAACGAGCGATTTCCCCAGCGTGTGTGTGTGTGACGCGAGACGAGCCGCTGCTATTGCTGACGCGCGCAGAAAAAGCGAAAAGCGCAACGCGTACAGAGCAGCCGGTGGGCGGACCGGATTGTTGCGAATTTTGTGCCAGTTGTCCTAACGGGGGTGATTTATGGCATTGCATTTGTACTTGATTTATAGTGCTTATTATTGTACATATGGAAGTGAAGACAACGGCGATCGAGTAGTGTGGAGTGGACAAATCACAGTCGTAATCACTTCTGCAGACACATACGTGATTGCACAATTTTTCAAGTTTGCACTGGCAGGCTGATTTGCAACCCCTACTTCTCGCAAAAACTTCCGTTTTATACTGTTCCTGCATCCAAGACTAGCGATCTACTGCCACAAACCTGCTCCAATGCAGATCTCAAAATGTGCAATCACACAAACAACTGCCAAGATGAGGATTGTCTAATGTATTAGCGATGTCCAGACGTTTGGTAAACAACTTGATTATAGGTTCCTGAAAAAACACTTTACTTGCACTTTTAGTCCAAGAGCGCGTGACAAGGGCGTGCCAAGGAAATTAGCAGTCTATGCTTACCAACATCAACTAGTGAATTGATTTTTCTTTTTGTCTGAAGTTGGTGCAGAACTACTTGTCCCGTACCTTCACAAGAGTCAGTGAAAAGTTGTTTTCACGTTTCAGTGCAAGTATTGAGTTATTCTTGGGGTAATGTTTACATTCGCCTACTCCATATTGCTCATGAGGTACTCTACCCGTTGGGAGATTTCGAAATCAATAGCAACTTCATCACCTTCACTCGTTACATTTCCGCTAATTCTCCTTTTTTGATAGTGTTAACCAAAAAGAGAAAGTTTGCGCTCTCCATTTGGTTCTGACCATCTTCCTCTCCTCTTTACTTGTAGACTATAAGCAGTTTCATTGCATTTTGAAGTTATGGAGCTTTTTTTGGATAAAGTCCAGTTGACAAAAATTGGAATGTTCTTGACGATAAGGGAGAAAGAAAAAATCTCTTGAATATTGAGTGCCGCCCTGAGTTGCAGCATATGTATTTTTTGGCCGTTTTCTCTATTCTGTGGCCAAACTCAACGATACCCAACGTTAGATTGTCCATAGGTTGTTGCGCAAGAGGAACAATGCTTAGGCCTCATTAGTTCAATCGTGACCTTGCTACCTTCGTCTATTGAAAATTTGAGGAAAGGTAGAAAAGAATTGGGTCTGCAAAGTTCATTGGTTGGGGAAAGGCTGGGCATATTGGGGAATTTTTGTAAAAATTCATGGGGTACCACGCCTTGGAGTTATGAGTTTTTAGAGACTCAAAACCGCTTTGCACATATTGTTTGAACAAGCTGTAGTTAAAAAGTTTATACTTGCAGACCGTCTCATCTAGTATTGTTTGCTACTTGCAACCTGGAAAGAACAAGTTAAGATGTTTAGACCATGCATACAAAGCGGTTTCTACCTCTTGGTCTCAGAACAGATAGTACAAAATTTTATTTTAAGCTATTTTACTATGGTACGGTAGAATAATACTGCGAATTTCTTTTGCAATTCTTGGCAGACGGTGTTCCAGCAGATTTGAAGCACTTCACATTGAGAAATGATTCAATAAATGAACATCATGTGCACTTTTGCGTAATTTCCATACTAAGCCATCATAGATGAGGAACTCGTGATTTTTGAAGTCGGCTGCGAGAAGTGCGCTCATCGATTTTTCGACAGTGCGTTAAGTACGTGGAAGCAGCAGGCTGAGGATTCGTTGATGATGTAAGCCAGGAGCGGGTGTGTTTCTTGCACATACACACACTCACACACACACATGCCACCATTAAATGTCTTCGCATTAAGGTAATCAATAATGCGCGTTGTTTTTGAGAAAAGCGCCTATTGACTTGACGGCTTCGTTCCGTTGGGATCGGCCTGTTTCATCCTTGAACTTATTTGAGGCAGAATTTTGCGATGGGGCGCGATTTGATCTCGTCGCCTTGCTATGAAAGGCACTGAACGCTGATCAACACCTGCAGTTCTCTCATTACTCGCCCTCCGCTCCCCACCCTCCCCCGCGCCTCGTCTCGCGCCCCGACTTCCAGCAACGGTAAAGCCGCATCGATCGGTGATTTTATTGCCCTTTGAGGTTGAAGAGAAAGAGAGCGCGAGCAATACACATACGTACACATACACACCACCACGCACAACCTCGTATGACTGATTCGTCACTTGATTACCTCTTCCGCACTCATTCGTTGTCGCCCCCGAAGAGAGGGCCACCCCCCCCCTGCCCGCTTGTCCCCCGTCACACTTTACCTCTCCATCTCTATATCGATCTGTAGCGCTGATTACTCGATGTCGAACTGACGCCGCGTACCAAAAATTAATAGCACCTGACGTCTGAGAGTTCGCTCGATCCACTTTACATATCGATTTCTCCCATTTGTCAACCTATCGACTTCTGTCTGTTGATTGGTGTAGCTTCTCCGTGATTTTATACTTTAAACTACTAGTTTCTACCGTAATCCCACAGTAATGAAGAGGTGATTTGCTTTGTACTGTAAATCTAAGTTGAAGCCAGCTCTACAAAATGGTCTTGAAGTTCGGCAAAAGACTTCTTTGATTACATAGCTGCGACCTTTAAATTTGCATTATAATCCCAAAACAGTTTATAGTTGAATGACCCTCGTCAACCTTCACAGATGGTACATGTTGTGTCCGTAAAAGTTCGTGTGCGAAAGCTGTTGACAGATTAGCCTACGATATTGTGTAACAAGGGCTTTTTTGTTAATTTTAGTGTGCGATTTTGGCCATTATTGAGCTCATTCAATGCAGTATAGGCTGTTGATTTGGTTAAGTGAGTACAAAGTTGTTGAACAGCAATTGGAGCATTCTGGGACACATATAATTCTGCAAATTTTGTGCACAGTGCAGAAATTTTGAATGGCAACTCTTATTTTTAGAATTTTGGAGTTTTAAATTGTGTATGTAGAGACAAAAATTCTCTCTTCAACTTTGAAAACAGGGCTTGCAAGTTGGTTCACTTTCGCATTTTATCAGCAGTTTTTGAAAAATTCAATATGATTTCCAGCATGCCTCACAAGAGTTCGAGGTAAGTGGGTACCAAGCACGATAGTGATGGTTTTTTGCATGGTTTTTTTCACACTGTCTCATGCTGATTTCTTCCCAAACCGGGAAGTTTTCAGACGTGGAACAGAGAACGTTTCCCAAGCTTCATTCTTTTCTTTTCAATAAACTGGCAAGGTTTTTCATGATTCAACTCCTGCGTTACGATGCTTTTCGGTTCACTCATAGAGGGCCCTCGGATGGCGAAATCAAAAAATATTCTTTCATCAGTTATTGACGCATTTCCGTATTTTTCAGTGACCCATGCATTCCTTGAGTCTGAAGCGTTTACACGGTGATTATCACCTCACTGCACCTTCTGGTTTTTTTGCGAACAAAGTTGTATTGTGGAAAATCGATAGCTCTTCATTTTTCCGATGCTTTGTCCATGAAGAATTCCGGAAATCAAGTCGGTCGTAAATTATCTCTTGGCTTTGATGTCATCTCTTACTTTTGTAACTTAATCTCACTTTTTTGGCTTCTCCCCTTCGATGTGATTCATACACTCTTTATTTCATTTATATTTATATTCCCTTTTTCCTTTTATCCATTTCAAAAAGTTTTTCTGCATGAAATGAACTTACTCCCTTCTACATAGCATCAGTGGAAACTCACGTTTCATAATGTGCAAGAGGTTTCAACATTTTGTGAATCATGCTTCAGGTATTCATACGATTTTTTTTTTGCGAAGGATTTAGTCAGCTTTTACCTTCCTGCCGCGAAGCAGATACATCTCGACGTTTTTCGATTACGTGCTGAACTGTGACTTTGTTATCTCGCAGCGAAATCTTTCACTTTCACAATCATGATAGAAAATTTTTACTAGTAGTCTGGTTGCGCATGTACGAATAGAATTGTAAACTCTTAGCTAATAAATCGCTTTGATGTTCGTATGCTCGTCTTCGCTATTTTGCTATAATATTGCATTCGTATAATTTTCGAATTTTTCCGGATTTTCCGCGTTCGTTTACAACTTCTCCATTCTCATGCTTTCCTTTCAGTTAGTCACTTATCGACTAATTATTCGCGACGTTCACCAGGACTATCTGGATCAGCACTGACGTCGTGTGAACATCCTGGTGTGCCTAATGTGTCTGTGATAACTCTGCGTATTCAAGCCCATTACCAAGTGATAATTTGATCTGCAACTAAAGTCACAAATCGAGCGCTCAACTGTATTCGAAAGTGCAGCCTGACTCCTTACTTGTCTATCGATACGACATCGATCGACACATCTCTTCTGCTGATTAGCTAGTTGGAACCGTCATTGAAAATCTTGTGCTCGATGACCATGGCACATGTGGACAACGATCAACGTCCGATGTCGAATGGATGCGAGAATAATCACGACACCATGGTTGAACCGATGGATTTGAGTGCACCGGTAAGGTTTTTCAATTTTCAGGTTTTTTTTTTTGCAGTGTTGATGTTTCCTAGACTGTAAAGCTTTGATTACAATGTATCCCAAAATCACGAGAAACTTCGATGTGAAATTCATCAATAATTAAACATCACCTTGTAGCCTATAATCTCTTTTTCTAAACGGTATATAGCTTTTACTTAATTTAAAGTGACCTTCTTTTGACAGTTCATTTACTATCGACGATTCGTTGACCGCACAGATTGCTCAAACGCTGCGGACCACGCGCGGCGCGGCTGGAATGTTGCGGGAACACGATTTGTACAAAGACGATTTTATACTGGGGCTAGCGTTTTACCTCGCGGCGCGTGCTCCGCAGTGATGTCCAGTCCGTGCGGTCAACGAATCGACTATAGCCTTATCGAAATTTGGTCGATTGCTTTTTGGGTCATTTCTTGCAGAATTTCGTCCCAAGTTCAAAACGATTTCAATTCAGCAATCATTCAAGGCTTAGAGCATGCTATTGATTTGAGGTATAGCCGTACGAAATAATTCAGAACGTTCCAGTCCTTTGGGTTTGGAACCGATGTCACTTTGTCCCTTTTATCTTGCCATAGTCGAACTATACCTCCTCAAAAATCGGTCGTTCTAGAATTGTAATTTCCTTTGGGCAAAAAGTTACATACGTCTGAGGAGGAAGGAGTGACCTTTCTAACTATACTTTTCTGATAGACATTTCGATAAAACAGCAAAATTATAAGTCAAATTTTGTCAGTATAGTTCGGACACATGGAAGTATCAACGACATATGCTTGATAGGTTTTTGCGAATGAGAGTTTTGGAGATTTCTGTTGTATAGAGTTTGCGTCATCATTTTGGTACTTCTCAGCTGCTCTTTTTCGCCGTTTTTTTTTATCTGTATGCCTACTCATTTTTGGGTATGTGGCCCTATAGCGTCATTGTACTTTGCACAGACAAAGCGAATTTGAAAGTACAGATTGCTATTTTCCAACAAAAAGGTTTGTTGTGTCATCAGTGTATTGAACACACAGTGTGATCTATGAGGAGCTGCGAATAATAGTTGTTTCGACTGTTACGTGAAGTTTGAGCTAAATATATTTTGGGGTGAGAGGGGGTGTTAGGCCTTGGCCGACGCGCGATTTCAGTCGCTAGCAATTTTGCAATGATTCAAATGTTTGTAACTTTTCCTAAACGCGCGCTGGGCACTTGGTCAGTTTATCAACTCACGAAGTTATGCAAATCATACACAGAATTATTGAGGAGTTGGTTTGAGACATCTGACAACTTGTCAATTCGCGTGGCTACTGAAATCGCTAGTTTTAGTCGAGACATCATGAGTACTCATTAATTCCAAGCGAGCTGCGAAAATTGACAAAATTGCAAGAGTTGTGAAATTTTGGAGAACAGTTTTGGGGATGTTTGCGAGAAGTTTGATTTTGTTTACTCTCAAAAAAATTCTGTTTATAGGAGAAACAGGATAAAATAACTTTCTGAGGTTTGATCACTGTGCTTGGTCAGCTTTTTCTTCGAATACGTGTGTTAACGCACTTCATACCTGCATCATTGATTGACTAGTCAAAACATGCGCGAAGACATTTTATCGTCTTATCAGCGTATCATTCGGTTGTCTGCTAACAGCTCAACAATTCATTCAAGTTTAGATGCCAAACGGAACGCCGTCCAAATCGACGGTCGAGTTTGCGGATGGCCAATTGTCTCCGGCGTCATTGCGACGTCGCAGCACCCGCGCCAGTGCGCTCAAAGCGCAAGAGAAAATCAAACATAAAGATGATTTTCTTATGGCGGCAACTGTTGAAAAGGTACACTCAATTCTAGTCCATGTGCTGCCAGTTTTTAACTCTCATAACAAAGTTATGTTTAGGAGGAGATGGAAGAGACTGGTGAGTCGTCGCCTAAAAAGCGCAAACTATACGATGGATCCTGTTTCGACCAGTTTAGCCACAAGTTTGGGCTACGGGTAAGCTATAGTTTGTACCATTTGTTATACACTTTTTTGGAGAATATAAACACACTGCTGGAATGTTAGGAGGGTGAGCAAGGGTTATATTTTGCTTTTTTTTCCGGGGGCCTTATGCGAATCATCAAACTTTGTGACAAATACTTTCTTGGCTTTTGTAGTGTTGCTTCATTTTCTATAGTCCATATCGCTTTTACAGGAACAAAATGGCAATGTGTACCCTCTAACAGACGAGAGTGAGGTATCCTCATTACATGACAGTGAAGTTATCACGCTCAAGGCCAGTTATGATAGGGTCGGTTTTTTTCTCGTTATTGTGTAATAATGACTACTCCTACCTTGTCTTTTCCTACTTTCAAAAACGTCACCTATTTAGCTGGTTAGCAAAGAGCTCACCCCCGAACAACGACATGAGCGAACGCTTATGATCAAACAATGCGAGGCGGAGTTACGACTAGAAGAAGCAAAGTTAACGATGCTGAAGAAAATCAAAGCTAGCCAGATGTTGGCTACGCAGAAGGTGAACTATCGAGTTTTTCGAGTTTTCACATCTTCGTTTATGACATATTATGACTTCTTTCCTCTTTTCATCTGTATCTGTGCGAATTTAGCTTCATGAGGCAAAGAAAGCCACTCCGCACATGTCGCTGAACAACGCTGGCGGCGCATACAAGCCTTTGGTTGCTCCGCCGTTGCATAAAACTGCTTCTGCTCCGGCGAACGGAAAAAGTGGTGAGCTTTTTTAGTCTGCCGCGTCTCTTATTTTTCGGCGAGTAGTAGCAATTGATCTGATCTTTCAAAAGTGCTTGTATTGATTCGAATTCCTCTTTTTTCGTGTTTATTCGTAACATTCGTATAAATGTTTACTCCGAAACATTTATACGAATGCAATGTTGATATCTGCTCAGTTAGCTTGCTGTAACATTCCTTTCCTGACTCTTTTTCTGTTTTCAATCTTCAAGAGGGATTACTGAGATACGGTTCAGTTTTTTTTCTTCCCTTTTTCTGCTTGGTGAAAGATTTCATTCAAACCATATCCCAGTATCATCCTTCGTATCTGAGAAATTATTGCTGTGCCTACTACATTATAATCGAGTAGCGATTTTGAATACTATAGTAGGCGGTAGTAGATCGTAGATTGGTCAACACCAAAATTGAGTAGATTGTTTTTATGTGCACTATTTTAGGTTCAGTCGGTTCATCGCGGCCTAATCCCGTGCTTGGACTAGCAGGACTTACCCCGCAGCAACAGCAAGAGGTATGACATGACCTAACCAATTTTTCTCTTCTCGACTTTATCGGATTTTTACTATAGTTACGTAGCTTCCTAACAAGCTTCAACTACCACGGCTACTGACCTTTTTTAAGCTGCTTATGATGGTGTTCATGTGGCCCGCCAAGCATTTTTTAGTAATAGTGTAGAGCTTGTATGAGGATACAGCGTAACAGATCCAAAATCTAAAAATGTGTTCATTATTTCTGAGGTTTAGCTTAATTTTCTTTTCTCTCCTCTCAGTGTGCCACATTTGACCTGTGTAATAATTTAGCTTCTCCGAAGTGCGCAAGCGAACCCAGCCGCGCTGCAAGCGCTCCTTATGCAAGCAGCAAAAAGCGGTCAGTCACCTGCTCAAGCACTGGCGGCACTATTCGCCAACCATGCGTCGACATCATCACAAGCAGCCTCATTGGCTCAACAACTTAAGGAGCAACGTGCCAAAGAGGAACAACTGCTCAAGGAGCAGGCTGCTGCCACACAAGCGAATAATGCAGCACAGCAGGTGGAAATTGCACGAGAAATCTCTAGACATCACCCAAGTACTGAATGTTCAGGCTAAGCTTCTCGCTGCACAGACGCCTCAACAGCGTGCTGCCACAGCTCGGCAGGCGTTCCGAATGCAAGCGGATAAGCAGCTCATGCAGGTTTGTTTCTGTCTGTATGTTATATGCCTTAGCCAAACTTCTGTACTCGCTGAAATTGCAATGCAACGCTTACGCTTTACATGACTCTTTCAAAATGCCCTGAAACTATAATACAACGCACCGGAACTTTGCATACTGATGTGCTCTTAGTTCAAAATACTTTTGGTGGTTTTGCGTAATCAAGTATTTTGCATCGGTTTGGGGTGTTTCATCTGTCCAGGTTTTCCGTTCTAAACGAATCATACTAGATAAGAGAGAGAAGAAGTTTGTCTGCGTCCTATTGTGTGGCCTAGACAGTATGCGTATTTTACGCTGGCATGAAGTGTATGTTTTCAGCAAATATCTGCACCAAAAGCTCCGCCGATCGACTTGTTTTTCATACCAAACGGGTCGCAACCGGACTTCTGCTACCTCGTCGGCCTGGATCTCGTCGTTCAACGGGTACTTAAAGATAAGAACGTGTACAGGTTGGTGTAGCAATATTCAGGGGTTTGCGAATCATAGATTCAATATGTTCTGAACTGTAGGAGTGTCAGCGAGGTTCCCTACGAATGCGAAGAATGTGGCACTGATTTTACGCCGTCATGGAAAGCCATAGGAACATCAGCCAACGATATGCACTTGTACTGCGAACAATGTGTTCGTTCCGCACAAAAACGAAAAATACGCACGGATCACAGCAATGTGCTGAAGAAGGCTTATAATAAAATCAATAGCCAAGAAAAAGTGAGTTCCGATATTCTGCTCCACTATCTCTCATTACAAAGATTTCCTTTTTAGGAGTTTGAGAAGCAAATTGCTGATGGAAAATTGGAAGCGGCTTTGGCAGCTGCAGCACAGGCTCATGCAGCCGCAGCAGCAGCCGCTGCAGCGGCATCGTCCAGTTGCGCATCCACCAGTCAAGCCCAGAATTTGAGCACGAAAATGCCAAACTTGTCTGCTTCGCAACAGCGTAGTGGTACAAGCACGCCTACTGTGCGGAAAGCTGCCACCCCGGTGAGTATATAGAAGCATTTCTGTCTTGTTTTGCAGTTATCAGGTATTTGACTGTGAGTGTGTGCCTGCGTAGGCTGCAAATTCAACAGTGCGTTTTCATCTGGTGACTTTCGTATTCTTGCACTTCTAAAAACTGTCCATCTTTTCCTTCAATTTTGCCCGTACAACAGACATTATTTGGGTTTTCAAATCAGCCCACTTTTTGTGCGCGCTTCAATGCGCGGGTCAAAGTCCTGTAAAGGATTTGTTTGTAATCATTCATGGTCTTCGCTGTCGGTGTCTTACATTTCCAACACATTTCAGGTCCCTCAGTCTTCCACACCTCTGACGAAAGTAGGCTCATCGTCTTCATCGAACACGCCTGCTATGAAGAAGTCAAATAGCTCTCCTGGATTAAGTATGGTAGGCATTCTTCCATATGTTCTTATCAATATTAGCAAAATTCCTTTTTTCTATGAAAATGGATCTCCTTTTGTACTGACCAAAATATGGTAAAATATGGTCGAAGTAACAATGAATTGTAGAGCAAATCATCTCAGGCCGCTATGCAACAGCAAATGGCAGCAATGCAGCAATTGGTGCGAGCCAATCCGATGATGGCAATGGCGGCTAGCCAAATGGCCGGAGCTGCTGCAGCCGCTGGAAATCCTATGGCGAGTATGATGCAGCAGGTGGGAATTCTTCAAATTTCTTCAATTCTGGCATCAACTTTGTGAACAAGCTTGATTGTCTGAATTTAGATGTGGAATCCCATGATGCTACAAGCAGCCGCCACTCAAATGCGTTTACAACAACAACAAGCACAACATCAGGTAGAAGATAATGAAATTTTGTTTGTTGAAATTCGCGTGTGTTAGTTTTTACCATTTTTGAGCTTTGTTGTGAATTTTTTTCTCCATGTAGTGCATTTCTGTGCTGTTTTTATCATATTTTCTCAAGTCAACACTAAAAAACCTGCAAGTAGACTTCTTACACCATATTTCTGTTATAGCTAGGAGCGCACCTGAGACTTTATATCTGAATTTACTCAGTCTGCTCACTTTTACATTTAGGCGAATCAGCCCAACATGGCCATGACTATGCTTGCTCAAGCTGTACAACATGCTCAGTCATCAGGTCTGACTGGACAGAATAATAATCCCCTCGCCCAACTTGGTTAGTCTGGTGTCATCTCGATTTGAATCTTCGCATTTTTGAAAATAGTAGTTATACCAAATTTTTCAGCTGCGGCCGCAGCGATGAACCCTGCATTGATGAGCAATCCTCAGTTGCTACGACAAATCCAGCAGATGCAAAGTCGCGGCCTGATTGAGTCACTTCGAGGGAAGAAATAATTTCTAAGAGACTACATTGCCAACCTATAACGTCAACACTTGTGGGAAGGGTATGAGAAAGTCACGATAACGTGAAATTACCTTGTCGAAAATTTGAATCACCGATGTTGACGTGCTAATTTCATTGTTGATGTTTTTTGTTAGTTATGTTGAGCTTTCTCCCTCGTTATCGATTGGTATATGCGTTTCTCAAAGATTACCTCCTCAATTCTTTGTCTCTACCCTGCATCACAACCATTCTTTCTTCTCCTCTCTGGAAATATACCGGTTGTTCGCATATCGACAAGGTATCGAGAACCAAATATACACGTACACACCCATCCATAAACGCATACACTTCACTGAGACGTGTCTTGTCCGTGTAGCTTATTTATCGATTGTTATCGATTAGTAATTCATCTATGTTTGTTTGCACAAGTATATTACCGGTAGCGGGTTGTTATACTTCTTGTTTTCGAGGAAATATTAAGAATGTTGTGCTTTTAATTGTACGTTCGAGGGGAGTCATGTGTTTGTGTGATCTGCGCATCAATAGCTTCCCATTTCCCAAAGCTCCATTGTCTGTCCAGTGCTGCCTTTCTCATCGACCCTCTTACCACTTTTCACCCAAGTCCCGGAATCGACTGATAGAATTGATATCGATTTAGTCGATCACAAATCCATTGTTCACTTGCTACATTTATTTGTGTCAACCTTTGCCCCACTTCGGCCACCCTCTTTGTCCATCGCTCGTCACTGTTCTTCATTCTTTCCATAGATTTCTCTGAAATGGGTATCAACAGGATTGTGTACAGTCACAGTGGTAGATTAAATGTATATGAATGTGACATAATGTTTGTTACAAATTTGGCGCTATATATCGCGCTACTGCCTTTCCGTTGACAATCTTAACGATTCAATTTGTGATGCTAATCTGTGCAGCAAATCGTCAAGCTTGTCAAAATAGCTAAAATAGTTCACCGTGTATAATCTCATCATTGGGCTGGGGATATGCTCCTGTGTAATACGAGGCGTAAAAATCCGTGTCCAAAACTGCATGGTACTGTTTGGCACCCTGAGTTTTTGACGTGGAACGTCATCGGTTCGATGTTTTTTAAATTTTAATTTGGTAAAGATAGAGTTTTTCGTTTTTTATTGTCGTTTCTCTATTTCATACTAAATATTGATTTTTATTGCTGAATACTTCTTTTATCACAATTTGTTCACATGCATCATGTGTATATTGTATTTTACTTCATTTTCGTTCACAAGATATCCCCGAGTTTGTGATCTTTCGAATGTGAATGGTTGGATACGCGTTTACACTCGTGTAGATTTGATACATTTTTCTTTGTAATGAATGGTTACTTGACTCAAAAACATGCTTTGAACAGCAGTTGATTTGATGAAATCTTGTGTAGGGCTGAAGCATAATGAGTTAGTGACGAACAGATGTGGTTTACGAACTAACGTCTTCGTGGTGCGTTAGATAGTTGATTCATCAATCGCACGTGCTGACCGTCATTACAGAGCACGCGACGCACGGTAAAAGCTCTTCCCAGAAATCGTCATTGTACTATATACAGGTCCCGCTCTTGCAACGTTTTAGCCACCTCACGGCAGCTGCAAACGCCAGTCTGCCCGATGAATTGACCATAGATGAGTGCATGAGTGTAGTACCATAGTTTGTTTTTTGAACAGTTTTTTCTCGCTTTTCAGTTGTAACTTTCGTTACTATTCCTTTCTCACTCAAGTTTGAGAATTGCAGAGGTGAGATTTCCTCTGGTAACTGCGTGCGCTTCTTTGGAAGTTTTATCTTCTTCGTCACATTTTGGGCTGACGTAAGCTGCAAATGTGATTTTTCATGTGAACCAGCGTGCGTACGTGATGCGGCGCTGCCTTTCGCTCTTTTTGACACGTTTCTCCTGAGATTTCAACGGAACTGCCCGAGGCGAGGTCGCGTTCAAAAAAGCGAAAGGCAGCGACATGACGTGGTACCTACAGTCTGCCCCAATCCTAACCAGGCCAAAATTGGCATGGCGGGAGCCGCGTCGCTAGGGTTTTGCGGTCACGCCCACGGCCTGCTTCTCTACACTCTCTCCAATCCTTTTGCTCTCTCCGTCAGCGCGCATATGCAGCGCAAACGCTTGGCGCTGCGAGTGCGCAAATCGACGCCGACGGTTCGGCCTGATCCCATTTGGAGCAGACTGTACGGGAATCTTGCTGGGGCGGACATACCTGCTTCAGAGTAAAGATCAAAGAAAAAAGATGAAAGGCAATCACCTCCTAGACTTACTAGGAAAAGCTACAGTATGGCGACTTCAGAAACACACCTTTACATGAACTCGGGCCGTTTGCAACTGTGTTCACCAACGTATAAGAATGCTGAATGTGCTTCCCTCAAACATGTGGAAAACAATGTAAGCAGTAATTTACTAAAAATTGCCTCTAGTACAGGGAAAAGACAGATAATAAAAGAAACGGAGAGGAATTGGCGCGGAACATGGCGTGGATAGTCTCGATCTCGGGCTTCATTAACTAACTAAGAAAGTGAGTTAGATACGCACTGGAAATCATCTGCAGACATTTACGAAAGGGAGCATGAATAGCATAGCATGTGCCAGCCATGTGCGTTGCGTAGGCACATTATGATGATATTAAAATGTTTGGAAAAATACGCTGGGAATTCAACAGCACTGGCGGCTGGAAGGCGACGCTCGTCCCGCGACGCAGACTGCGTCTCTTTCGCGAGAGTGCTTTCGGTTCATTCTCTAGCCTTAATCAGGCTTCGAAGCCTCTCCTTCCACACGCCACTCTAGTTGAATCAAAGGGTACTTTTCGACACCATTTTTGATCCTGCTAAAAACATATAGCTCCAAAAAGGATTAACTGTATGCTGCATATTGTCAGCCATTGCACTACAATATCCTTATTTGCAGCTTTCAGATGAACGAAAGTCTGGTACCTGCCTAACTGCATGCCATCTTGGCATGCAGTTAGGCAGGTGCCAGACTTATCCGGTTCACCCGGTTCATCCGGTTTACCCCATTCGCTATTGACCAATTCAGTGATTTCACCAGTAGCGAGTAAACCGGACGAAGCAGTTGAAACCGACATGTCTGGCACCTACCCTACAACAAGGTTTTTGGCATATCTGACTGAAAAAGAGTTTTCTTCAGCGCCATGTAATAAGAGCTTCTTCACCGGTTTTGAATCACTGACCTCTCGTCTTCAAAGCCTTGGCCATACGTGCAGCGATTTCATCGTCGCGATTCCGTTGCCGAAGAATTTCGTGATTGTAGCGACGAAATCGCAACTTTCAGACCGCTGGTCGCGGGTTCTGGACATACCTGCCTGTTTAGCGATAAGGTGAAAATACACACTCCAGCACTTGTTCTAGGTTTTCTTTTGGCATTCAAAAGAATTATTCAGTGTGATTTCTTTACATTTACAGATTTCTTCGTCTTTTTCGACACCAGTAAGTCCTTTCGTCAACAACTTATATTAGTTTCTCGCGCATTTGCATTCATCATTCAATCTTTCTCATTAGATACGGGATGTAAAGCCAATTTTACCAAGTTAGCTGCGGTTTCATACGACATCTAGATACTACGATGCTGTTCAGTTACGAGTTTCGAACAACCAAAAGTATTCATTTTGAATGATGGTACGAATTAGAAGAAAAGCGCAGCACAACACGAAAGAAGTGCAATCTAGGAAATCTGCATTACATCTTAACATCTCCGCAAAAAAAACAACTCGAAAGAAAAAAGAATTGTTCCAAAAACTTCCCAAAAAAGAAATCCAGTTTCAGCGATATCGCCCCGTCGCGGGTTTCAAACTTGCGACGCGATATCGCAAACTTTCGGCCAAACCGCGGCAATATTGCTGGAATAGGTATGGCCTAGGAAAACACGGTCTGCGATCCGTTGCGCCGGACAGCTAGCACGACCAATATGCATAATTTGCCGGCATGAAATAGGGGGTATGGCAGTTGTCCGATTGCACAAATCGCATCGCGGTGATTTTTTTTGACGGTATGGCCAGGGCTTAATGCAAGCACGCAGACCGCTAGACCCTTCGCCATTATTAACCTACATAGCTGCGTCCACGTTTAGAGGCACTTTCCACCCACAATGGATGAATTTTAATGCCTAGCAATTGGGGCCCCCAACTGATTACTTGCCCAAGTCGCAGTACCAAAAGTTGCTTTTTAAGGAAGAAAATTGCTTCGATGACGGATTCGCCATCTTGGCTACTCCCCTTTGAACGAGCCTGACGTTCGTCCCGCCCATCTGTGCGCATCTCACCTATAACCGTTTCGGAGAATCGCCCTGCGGGTTCTGAAAAAATGGGCATTTATGGAGTTATCGTGGATTCTCGACTTGATATTCGGAATCAGGGACATAAGAAGGCTCCGGAACGACAAAAACATGGGAGTCGAGCATCGGTGGATCGTGCCTTTAAAGGCAGTGTCCGGACAAGATGGGGGTCTGGGATTTCAAGGCCATGCGAGAGTGACCCCCCCCCCCCCCCAGACACAACATCGTGCAAGTGCGACGTCATAGCGCTCAATCTAAAGCAAGAAAAACGACCGGAAAGTGGGGAAACTTACGCCTTGAAACGGGGTCCTCCGACCTGTTCGAATTCCTGCTATGCGGCAGAGTAGGCATGCCGCCACAGTCAAAATCGTAGGGTCCCAGAGAGACTCTGCGTCTCAGTCATGGCGGGGACCGTCGAATTTCAAGTTGTAAGGCTTTCGAAACGCATGTTCTCGCCGTTTTCGAGCTTTCTAATGTGGAATTTCGAATTCGACGTTGCGGATAACCCCCGGTAAGTGGATTTTCTAAAAATCGAATTTTTGCACGAATTCCGCCTTTAAAGGCAGCGTCAAGGCAGATCTAGACCTGTCGGGATTTTACGTTTAAAGTAATTTTGGGGCCCTAACTAAGGCACTGCCCAAGCTCCGCAAGTAGTGCTCTAACGGCTGAGATATTCTTCTCGAAACTGGACCCCGCGATCGCATGGATTCATGACAGTTTCGCGCCAGGATCCACGCTTTGCGCCATGAATCCATGCGAAATACGACCGTGGGGTCCAGTTACGAGAGGAATATATCTCAGCCGTTAGAGCACTACCTAAGCTGACGGTTGGGCAGTGGCTTGCAAGGGAAGGATGGTTGGTCGAAGTGGCGTTTTGAGATGAATTGTATACCTTGGGGAGGGCATAAAACGCTTCCAAATCTGTCTTCCTTATCTGCGGCGCGTTCCTGAAGGAGGAGTTATGAGCGTTTGAAGGAGCAAAAAATGAGTGTTTTTCTGGGATAAAAACATTGGCTAAAATATTCCCAGCGCTTAAATGAGACATCCGGAGTGTGGATATATCTCACCTTAGATTATTTATTTTATAGAGTGTTGGAAAGATTACCACTGGTCCATTCAAGCGCTAGGAATAATGTTACACTGTTTTTATATTATTTGCACATTCAATTTTTCTCCAATAAACGCTTACAAGTTCTTGTGCAGGAACGCGCCGCAGATAAAAAAGATAGATTTGGAATCAGCGTTTTTGCCCTACATAATGATGTATCGTCGACTCTAAAAATCGTGACGACGGTCTGCAGTGCGGCCAGTGCGCGCCGCACGGCACTGCCGCTTTATCGTAGGGCAATCTTGCTTCTCTGCAGTGTAGGCTCCCTGCGGTAGCCATGAAAGTTCCTGCAAGCAAAAAAGATGCAAAAAGAAGAAGAAAAACCACAAGAACTCACCTTCTCCACGTAATTTGGGCGAATCACTAGGTGGCAGTGCCGTGCGGCGCGCACTGGCCGCACTGCAGACCGTCGTCACGATTTTTAGAGTCGACGATACAAGTCATCGCAAGGGGTCACTTCGACTGACCATCCTTCCCTTGTTAGTTTAGGAAATTCCGAAAGTCCCGAAATTACTATCCACGTGAGATTTCCATATGTCCAGATTTGCGTGGACGCTGCCTTTCAGGCCCCTCTCAGAAGCGCTCAAAAGCGTCCTAAAGCACCCAAAAGCGCCCAAAAACTCCCAAATTTCTCTAACCTCTCTTCACTTATCGTGTAAGGAGAGATAAAGAAAGTGAAGAGAGATTAGAGAAATTTGGGCGTTTTTGAGCGATGTCTAGCCGGGACCTAAGAAGAGCCGTAAAACAGGATTTCGAGGCCTGCTTTTATAAGGGCGTCCCGCAGAACGAAATGTCAAAAACAGCGTTCAAAAATGCTTTAGTCTGTGTATCTCATATCAAGCGTCCACAGCCATTGAAAGTATGATCGTCTCGATTCGTGTAGAGGTGTATTGCAGACTTTTCCTGATAACACAGGTAAACTTGTTAAACCTCCACGTCACAGCATTGCTTTTCGTACTCTCTCGCTATCAAAAACCGCCACGCTTTGAGTTGGCAAAACCCCGCCTCTACACGAATCGTGGAGTCGATGATACTTCCCATTGATCAGAGGCATTAGTTGCTGGCAGCAAGGTTTGTGCAGCTCAGGAGCAACTTTCTCCATTTGTTAGAGAATAATGGAGAAGTACATATAGTTCAATATTTTTCTTTTGCCGTACAGGTTGTTATCGGTGACAGTTTATTGCCTAACGTTTCGGCACAACGCCGTCGTCGGAGGCTAAAAGTATTCAGTCACGTTGATTTACGATCTTGGTCGCCAAACATCTCCTCCCGCTCGAGCATTCGAATGGTCTTGAGTGGAAGCAGGGAGTCTGCGAGTAGAGGACGACTCACCAGAGTTGTCACCGTTTGTTGCAGTATCAGTTGGTTCTGATGTGCTTCAACGAACTGCGATGTTGAGAGTATGCAGTCGTGATGTCAACTGACTGCTGTGTCGCGAATGAGCAGTCGTGATGTTAACGGACTGCTTAAATAGGGTAGACGATCTTATAGTTTGCAATATGTCAGAGATACGGCATCAGATCTCCAGTTATAGATAATTGTTCATTCTTGTTGTTGATCTGGGGGTCGCGGACAAGAATGTGGATGCCTCAAGGGCCTTTCTCGCGGATATTTGATTTTCGAAGGCCAGCATTATACTTGATGTCGAAATCATTACCGTTATGATCTACCTTTCTATGCTTTCCTAGCGGATTACGCTTTGCCGGTTTTTACTAGCCAAATGCTCGTTTACATTGCGTTGCAATATATTCAAGTGGTCAGGACGACACTATACACAAGTTAGAGGTTTGGCAATGGGTCAACGATTGGCACCCGTCCTAGCAATCTGCTTCATGAGCAGAATTGAACAGCCTGCGCTATCGAGAATCCCGCTTATGTACTGTCGTTATATCGACGATTGTTGTGTAGTCACTTCAACTCAGTCCGAGATGGACGAGTGCTTCAAAATTCTGAACCAACAATCACAGTTTATATGCTTCACACGAGAAAGGCCATGCAACGGTTGGCTACTACTTTTGAATACGCAACTGATGGTGGTGAATGGGACGGTGCAAGTCAAGTGGTACCGAAAAGAGAGCAACAAGAATATTCTTCTGCACGCACAGTCTGCTCACCCTACAGCCGTGAAACGCGCCATGATTCGAGATATGTTCAGAACGGTAGTAGGCATCTGCAGCGGCGAAAAAGAAAAACAAGAATCACTAAAGTTGGCAAATGGAATAATGATTGCAAACGGTTATAATATGCGAGCTAGACGTACAACGAAAGTGTCAAAGGCGAGTGGACAGAACGTAAACAAAATACCTCCGTGCCTCCTTTTCATTTCCGAAAGGGTCAGTGCTGCAATAAGACAATGTTTGATACGAGCGCAGTTGGATAACGAAGTTGTCTTGGTGAGTATCCCCCGAGATAACATCAAAAGACAACTAGTCCGTAATAGAATGTATGACAATGCTTGCATCACACGAAATTGCGTGATATGCCCTCACGGAAAAGATGGAGATTGTTCGAAATCTGGCGTCCTGTATCAAATAGAATGTTTAGCATGCTCCGCCATCTACATTGGTGAGACGGGTAGGCCATTGTGCATGCGCGTAAACGAGCATTTGGCTAGTGAAAAGCGGCAAAGCGTAATGAATCCGCTAGGAAAGCATAGAAAGGTACATCATAACGGTAATGACTTCGATATCAAGTATAATGTTGGCCTACGAAAATCAAATATCCGCGAGAAAGGCCCTTGAGGCATCCTATATTCTTGTCCGCGCCCCCAGATCAACAACAAGAATGAACAATTATCTATAACTGGAGATCTGATGCCGTATCTGACATATTGCAAACTATAAGATCGTCTACCCTATTTAAAGGCAGTAGACAGGCAAAATGGACCCCTGTCAGATTTTGGTAGTTTCGGGTAGTGGACCCCCCCAATTACACCGTAGCCCCAACCCCAACTTCCAGTTGATGCGCTAAGTCCTGAAAAAGGCGCTTCAAACTTCCACCAATAACGCCCACTCAGTGGAAGTGGGCGGGGCTGGTGGAGTTTTGAAGCGCTTTTTTCAGGACTTAGCGCATGAATTGGAATGTGGGGTTGGGGCTACGGTGTACTTGGGGGGTCCACTACCTGAAACTACCAAAATCTGACAGGGGTCCTTTTGCCTGTCCGCTGCCTTTAAGCAGTCCGTTAACATCACGACTGCTCATTCGCGACTCAGCAGTCGGTTGACATCACGACTGCATACTCTCAACATCGCAGTTCGTTGAAGCACATCAGAACCAACTGATACTGCTACAAACGGTGACAACTCTGGTGAGTCGTCCTCTACTCGCAGACTCCCTGCTTCCACTCAAGGCCATTCGAATGCTCGAGCGGGAGGAGATGTTTGGCGACCAAAATCGTAAATCAACGTGACTGAATACTTTTAGCCTCCGACGACGGCGTTGTGCCGAAACGTTAGGCAATAAACTGTCACCGATAACAACCTGTACGGCAAAAGAAAAATATTGAAATCAGTACAGAATGCCCAGGTTTCAAGACAAGAGGACGTTTGACATACTACATATAGTTCTGTAAATATCTTGGAGCTACGCACAGCTTGATCCATCTATTCCCATACAGTGTTCCATTTGAAGTATAGGCTCATCTAGCAAACTTACGGCTGGAACTTTCCAGGTAGTCGCTGATGCTGTGGAACCCGATCCGACGCCGAAGATAACGATCCCGATGGGGCCGTCCCATTGTCGAATTTCGGGTTTTCACCCTCTTCCAAAGGTTAATATTACTTATATCTTCAAACACAACCTTCAGTTACTAGTCACATTGACTTAATGTCCTTTTTGCGTCTGCTCCTTTCCTTATGAAAAATAGCAATTTATCTACAATTTTAACCCATGCATTTGTTCGCATTCAGGATGCCAACGCCGTTGGTCCAATTGGTGCTCATCAGGCTGGATTCCGCCCTTTCGAATAAGAAGTCTCTTTTCGTTTTACTCGCTGCATGGTTTGTTGCAGCAAACTCGTATCGAAATGTGAGTTTCTTTTTCCATGCTTTCGTTTCAGAAGTTTCCGCCTTGAAAGCAAAGACTCTTTGTTCCCAAATTCAACAAGTCAGTTTTTCAAACTCTAGACCTACATTCAGCTGGCGCTTCCACATCGCATTTTATTTAGGCCCAGCCATCTTTCCCCAGGTGGAGGCGTATGGGAAATATAATTGCCAATGTGGATAAGTACTCAAAAATCGTAAGTACCTGCATTCGTGCTTAATTAACATACTTTTCTCAATTTGTGATGCTAATTATTTGGGTATCTATTGTACTTTGTTACTTCAAATTGGATGCATTTCTGTTTCTGTTCTCAGCTTTCTCGTGAGACTATTGAGCAGGATCGTCGCTTTTTAAATTTCACCAATTTGCTGGCAACAAGAAGTGAACCTCCTTATTTGCTTTACGTACGTTTTTTAGTCTTAAAGCATGTATTAGCATTACTATACAATGTTTCAGTTAGACAGAGGATTTCTCGAGATCACCTTGAATCATATTTGCAATCTCAAATACATGCCTGGTTCTGTAGAGTGAGTTATTTTCGTGTCTCTAAACGTGACTGGTTATTTCTTCTAATGCAGAAGGTTAGCTGTAGTTTCATTTGATCCTGAGACTGAAAAACAATTCAATGCTGTCTACCCGAGTATTCCTACAACGAGCCTCGATTTTTCATTAGTCAGGGTACGTTGAATCCATTATTTTTGTTTATTATGTTATTTTACGTTTTTATGTTCAACAGATCATTTTTTGCAGTAGTTTCATACGAATCTGTCATTATTCTCTTCAGAATTCTGTGCCAAAAGATCTTGAAAATCATCGTTATGTTATCTACCAGCTCGTCTTGATGATGCGATCTCACATCGCTTCCGTCATGTCACGTAGAAACATAAGTTTTTGGTCTATGCAACAGGTAAATTGTCAAATGCTTTATACGAATAAATAATTGGTGATTTTTTTCCGTTGTATCTATTATAGTAATTGTGCCAGAACTTCGTATTCAGGATTCTCTATGGACTGAGAATTTTGTGAAGATGAATGTGGAACAGCATTTTCCAAACTCATTATTGATTTTTGATACTGTTGGAAACGATCAGGTATGATCAACCCTTCCAAATCCTTATCTCATCTTACTTTTGAACTTCGTATACCTATAAATCGTTCTTATTCTATCGAAAAATGGGAGCACTGCAAGAGCAATTACTATGCTTTTCCCCGAGTTATATAGATGCCTATGAAAAAAGCGAACTGACAAGTCAGATCTGCAACTATCATGCCCCCTTGTTAAGGTGCCAATATACGAACGCTTAATGAAGGGTTGGATATGCGGATCAACATTTTTCGTTAGAGCCAGCCCAGTGACTGCCGGGTTCTTCGAAAAGGTATCCGCTACATCGAATAAAAATTGCCCTTGGCTTTTGTACTGATAATGCATTGCCATGAAAGTTTTTGAAAGCCAAAAATAATATATTCTACAGGTGGCATTGCTGATGACCCGTCGGCAGTCACCAGATTCTTCGATTATGACGTATTTATGCGGTGCACCACAATACCACTGCGCAAAGATGCCTCGCTGGTAACTGTTGTAGATACTTGTCTGTTGGAAGTTCCAAGTTATTTAGCCATAAATTGAATACTTGCAAACTAGGGGCGGACAGGTTATGCTTTATAATTGCCCTCTAAACTGAACTTGTTCTTTTAGGGTTGTCTCATCGTCGAATTTTTTCATGGGTGACAGAAGTGTGATTCCCTTCATCATACAGGTAAGCGCTATATGCTAATGATGTACCTTTATGGGAAGAAACAAACTCGTGAACTTTAATGACTAGTCAAAATCTGCCTCCCCCTCCTTATCAAAGGAAAAAATCATCTACACTTCAGGTTGATCATGAATCAAAAATGTCTAAGATGGAGCTGTTCAGAAAGGAGAACTTTTTGTTTATGAAGGACGATGGATCGTGTAACGCTTCTGCTGTCGTGCACCTGAAGTGAGGAATCTTCTGTTCAATCTTATCACTCCTGCATAAAAAATTTCATTGACCCTTTGCACGGATCAATAATAAACTGCTTTTCAGGGAGGCTGTCACTATTGCACTGGATGAGGTTCGAGTAGAACTAAAGGAGGAAGAAATGCCTGTGTTAGATTATGTACTCTGGAATCTGCACAGATGGTTCGGATTCGATCCATACAACAACAAAAACTTCCTCAGAGTGCATGAAGGAATTATCTAATAAAATATTGACATAGACTTCATGAGTTTGAACCATTGTTCTTGCATATACTTGGTTGATACTGTGTGAAGGTGTTAGTCTGTAATCTCTTCATCTAAGTCGCTTACAAGGGAAGGATGGTCAGTCGAAGTGGCTTTGTGCGAAGACTTGTATATCATTATGTAGTGCATAAAACGCTAATTCCAAATCTGTCTTCCTTATCTGCACGCGTTCCTGCACGAGAAGTTATGAGCGTTTATTGGAGAAAAAATTGAATGTGCAGATAATATAAAAACAGTAGTAACATTATTCCTAGCGCTTAAATGGACCAGTGGTAATCTTTCCAACACTCTATAAAATAAATACTCTAAGGTGAGATATATCCACACTCCGGCTGTCTCATTCAAGCGCTGGGAAAATTTTGGCCAATGTTTTTATCCCAGAAAAACACTCATTTTTTGCTTCTTCAAACGCTCATGACTCTTCCTCCAGGAATGCGCCGCAGATAAGGAAGACAGATTTGGAATCAGCGTTTCATGCCCTCCACAATGGTGTGCAGTTCATCTCAAAAGGCCACTTCGACCAACCATCCTTTCCTTGTTAGAAGCGGAAGAATCAAGTTCGTGAACTCATGTGCTTGATTCCCTCCACTGGCACGAGAAAAATGAATTTGCTTTGCTAAGGTGGGTAGAAAATGCCATTCCAAAGTCCAAGTGATTCTTCAGTTGATTTTTTCATGCATGTCGATTTTACTCAGTACTTATCTCTTCTCTGACGAAGCACTTGTGTAGTGAGCGTGTGACTCGACTCGAAGACGACGAAGAGTTTTCAAGAAGATTTTTCTTGAAAACTTGTCCTCGTCCTTGTGATTTTATCATCATTACTGTTTTCCTCATTTTAAGCATGCTTTTATTTGTGAATTTTTCTCATCATTACAAGAGAACAAAGTCCTTATTATGCTCCAATATCGCCTTATACCATTTTTTGAGATCATTGGCAACTTGAAATTTGGACTTTCGTTCAACTTTTGAGAACCTCGATTTCTCCCCATTCAATGCTTTGATCCCCTCATTCCCGCGACAATCATATCTGCAGCATTTTCGTTACGTCATTTCACATTTTTTAACTTATGAAAATCGCAAAAAGCATGCTTCTCCCAAAAATGAGCATTTGCGGCTTCACAAGAATTTTTGTATTGAAAACTACGATACTATAGAGAGAAAGCTTTACAGAAGTCCCTGAAAATTGTCCTCTAAACATGTGGCTCTTTCGATCCATATTTAGTATGCGTACAACACTGTATGAGTTAATACTTCGTGATCAGAAGCAAACCAATCGGTGAATGCACAAATACTGTCCTGGCAGAGACATTACTTATGATATAAATTACGATAGTGCCCTTTTTTCGGGTTTTGACTTGATATCGCCATCACAAAACTCCTTTGGCACACACAATCCGTTTTTGTTGCGTAGATATCCACCCTGGCAAGTGCATCCTCCTGGTCCGCACAATAGAATACATGCAACCTATAATTTTATCTTAATACAGGAAATATGAAGAAATGAACATACCACAGGTGAATTACACGTCGGTTCACATCCGTTGAAACAATTATCGTAGACCTCATTCTCACCACAACCCGTGTCGAAACCCAGCATTCCTCTTCCTTTGCCTATCGGTATAGTGTAACTTACCTTTTCATAAGGTGTATATTAAGTCACTTTGTGTATTGTGACGTACCTAGAGCGCTGCTCATAATTGCTAATGTGACCACCTGAAAATTATATCGATTTGGGGTGTATTAGCTGGTTTTGGCATACAATGCTCTCCAAATAAGGCTGCGTTTATACTGATCTGAAAGTCCGGGAACAATTCCAGCACAACGCTCGAACTGAGCGCTGCTGCTGGAACAGTTCCCGGACTTCGGAATCAGTATGAACGCAGCCTAAGCCTTGAGGGGGGGGGGGAGCGTTTATTTGAAAAATTGGAGAATGCAGTGGTTATGCACGTTAACTGAAGCGATAAGTGTGGCTGTATGGACTCATATGCATCGTAATATATAAATTTTTGTCAAGAGCACAGGTGCGATAGTGTGAGAATTTTCTCACCCCCTTTCACCCCTGAGCCGGGACCAAGGTGACCCCCTTCACCAAAAGCCGAGAAGAAAAATCAACAGTGAGGTAAGGTTAAGCAAAGGAGATATTTGTACGTGAATTGTTCTTGTATAGGAAAGAAGGAGGCTGTTGAAAAAGAGCTTGGTAAGGGTGTGAATAGTATTTCGGGACATTTTCGAGTTTTTAAGATAAAAAAATTTATAACTTTTGTAGATGAACATCTTTTACGCCGTGATGGCCACTGTTGGAACCGTCTCGTCCTCCGCTTTCAAAAAATATATACTTTGCCTGGAGTCCGTTGAAAAAAGGTGAAGGGTGCCTGAGCGGGGACCAAGGTGACCCTCTTCACCAAAAGCCAAGAAAAAAATCAACAGTGAGGTAAGGTTAAGCAAAGGAGATGTTTGTACGTGAATTTTCAGTGTATAGGAAAGGAGGAGTCTGTTGAAAAAAGTGCTTGGTGACGGGTGTGAGTAGTGATTTCTGGAGATTTTCGGGCTTTTGAAATAAAAAATTCATAACTTTTGTAGATGAACATCTTTTACGGCGAGATGGTCACCATTAGAACCGCCTCGTTCTCCGCTCTCAGAAAATATACAGCATGTTTGAGATCCGTTTGAAAAAGTGCATGGTGAAAGATGTGCCTAGTGATTTCTGGGAATTTTCGAGTTTTCAGGATAAAAAAATCCGTGACTACTGCAGATGAACAGCTGGTGCAAGGAAATAGTAATCATCGGAACCGCCTCGTCCTCCGCTTTCAAAAAATACATGGCATGTCTGAGATCCATTCAAAAAAGTGCCTGGGTGAAGGGTGTGTTTAGTGATTTTTGAAGATACTCGATTTTTTATCATAAAAAAATTCATAACTTTTTTAGATGAACATCTTGTACGCCGGGATGGTCACCATTGGAACCGCCTTGTCCTCCGCTTCAGAAAATATATACTTTGCCTGGGGTCCGTTGAAAAACGTGCCGGGTGAAGGGTGGGTGAGACTTTTATAATGGGAGTGCTCAAGTAGACGCCTTTTTACTATGTTAATAAGCCTGTACTTGAGACTCCCATTATAAAAGTCTCACCCACCCTTCACCCGGCACTTTTTCTAATGGATCTCGGGCAAAGTATATATTTTCTGAAAGCAGAGGACGAGACGGTTCCAGCGGTGACCATCCTGGCCTACAAGATATTCATCTAAAAAAGTTATGAATTCTTTTATATTAAAAACTCGAAAATCTCCATAAATCACCCGGACACCCTTCACCCAGGCACTTTTTTTGATGAACACCAAACAATGTATATATTTTCTGGAAGCAGAAAACGAGGCGGTTTCAATGGTTGCCATGTCGGCGTAAATTATGCTCATCTTCAAAGTTACGGATTTTTCTATCCTAAAAACTCGAAAATATCCAGAAATCACTACCCACACTCTTCACTAGGCACTTTTTCAACAGACTCCAGGCAAACTATATATTCTCTAAAAGCGGAATACAAGATGGTTTCAAAAATATTCACCTTGCTGACGTTGCTGCTTATCTACAGAAATTAGGAATTTTTTCTTTGAAAAAAATTCGTAAATGCTTAAAAATTGTCCAACTCTTTCCGAACCAAATGTTCGCATGCACATCAACTATGGTAATTCCAAAACCAAGCAGGGCGATGTAAAAAAGGGAAAAGGAAATGTAAAAAAATACAGAGTGCTGGTCAGAAATATAATTGTATGCTAATCCAGCAGCGTATCACTTCACATTTCAGAAAAAAGACAAACAGTGATGGTAAGGAATTTGAAATTATGAACTTTGACTGGGAAAATGATGCCCCCTCCCCTGTCGCCATTTACGATTTCTTTACCAAGTAAAACACCCTTCACCCTGGAGGGGTTGCGACCACTGTGACCCCCTTCACCATGGAGGAGTCATTCTCACCTTATCGCACCTGTGGTCAAGAGGGATGATGATAAGGCTATGCCGAGGAAGGCTCCAAAACTGCGTTAGTTGAGAGCGTATTTTCACCGCTGTGAACGTGCGCCTCATGCGCTTTGCGCCTATAGAATTGCACTTGCTTTGCGCCTTCGTCTGATAGCACCCTAAAAGCAAGCATGTGCCAAGCTGGGTTTTTTATATTGTGAGTAACGCAAAATTTTTATTGAAAATTCGTTTGTTAGTTTCAAGAATTACAAGTGTAACGTAGTGTAAGAGCAGTACTGCCAAGTATTCCCCGTTTTTTCGGCACACAGCATTTCCAAACTGTATAGTCTTGCCCTAGTACGAGATTGAAATAAATTATTTATGCTGCAACGTCTTTGAAAGGGGCCTACATGAGTTGTGAAAAATGTGCGCAAAAGTTAAATTTCAAAGTTTATAAGACCCCAAAATTTTTTATCTTGGGAGGGAGGGGTGTGGCAGTGCTCAGAGAAAATTTGAATTTCAAAATTTTTTAGTCACCTTCGTTATCAGGTTATCCCGTAAGTTCCGTTCGTTCTTCCTTCACCCTTATAACTACCATATTTTTGATTTAAAAAAGCTCTTGGATACCACAAAACAGGCTTACAAAGTGGCTTCCAAACACTTGTACAGAGTTCGTTTCACATAAGCTGGAAATCAAAACCCAAAAACTTACAAAACCCCGAAAACTGGACAAAAATCAGAACTTTGCTCTAAAAATCCTTGGAAGATCTAATTTCTTCACGCATTCTCTAAACTAGCATTCATATGCATACTTGTGGTATTTTTTCCATTGGGGAATCAATATGACAAATTTTGGCACGTCTTTTTTTTTTTCATAGCGAAGCCGCGCTACTTCCGTATAGCTGATGCTGTTGCAAAGGCTCTTAGAAGTATAACCACAAAATTTTAGCTTTCTATGGGCGACATTTTTCGAGAAAATTCACATTTAGCGTAAAATACGGAAAAGCGATATTTTTGTTATTTCGCCAATATGATACTTCTCGTTTTTAAGTGCTAGAAAATTAAAGCAGGTGTGCTAAAATTATTAGATGATTTGCGTATATGTGTGAACAAGTTAAAGCTTCCCATGTTTTGAGTAGAGTTCCGATTTCTTCAAGTGTTTGGTTTTTTGAAAGTTTTAGGTTCTGATTTCAAACTTAATGTGGACTGAACTTTATGGAAATGTTCGGGAAGATCTAACTTGCCAGTTGAGCTAGAGTTGAGCTTGTTTGGGTCATCAAAAGATTTCCTAAAGCTTCCTTAGGAGTCAAGAAAAAGCGGTCATTGGGATGGTAAGTGAAAACTGACGGCTTGTAGGACACTTCGCCATTTTCATGCGCTGAAAAGTTCAGTTATGGGCTCTTCATGGCGAGAAATTTCCAAAAAGGTGAAAAACTGGTCAGGACCGAGGAGAGTATCGACCTCATTGGAGGGCGTGCAGGAGTTCCTAGCACCTTTCCTCGCACCAAGTTCGCACCAGCATTCGCACCCAGGAGGGTTCTAGCACCACCGTGCCTCAGAGGTCAGGCCCGCCCATTGCTCCACCCATTTACTATTCTCATTGTGAAGTGTGCATGCAGCGAGAACATAGATTCAGGTATTAGGTTAATGATAGAGAAATGGAGAAAAAACGAAGAATATTTATCATTTCTCAAATGAAACTTCCGTTGTACCATTAAAAATGAGCATCCATTATTCTCAAACATAAATTGCACAGGATTTTTTGAATACGAAACCAAGTCATTCGTAAGATTACGAGATCTAATTGTCCAATTCTGAAGTACTGGTCATTTAACTGAAGTAAATCATCAGTTTTGAATGAATGAGTGACCAGAAGTGGTTGAGAACCCGATTACCTTCTCAGCAAGAAAAGGACCTATTTTGAAAGGGGCATAGCAACATTTTGAACAACCAACCTGACGCTTTCCCGTTGGTTAGGACATTTACACACATACTTTCGTACTTTCGTCTGCCATCTATTCGAGTGAGTTTCTCATTCTAACTTTGAGGATCAATTAGATCAAAATTATCAAAAAGAAATTTTCATGTGTACAGGGTGCGGCAAAAGTCTGGGAGCCTAACTTTGCAGTACTGCAGTTACAAAGATGCTGATGGTTTTGATTTCAATTTTATGCCACCTGATGCTGCGGTCATCCTCTATAGAATACACTTTATTTGGCTGGAAATGGCTGCTATATGTTTTTGTAAAATGGAAAACACCAAAGTAGTACTTTTGCAAAGCGAAACACCAGAATTTTTGGTATTCACAATTTTTGCTGTAACTAGAGATGCTGTTAACATTTTACAACGCTGCAATGCAAAGAATATAGAAGAGACTTTGCGCTATCGAATCATAGTTTTGTTTTTGCCAGGAGCTGTTCTTGCATAAACGGAAAATAAAAGTTTGCGAATGTTACCTACGTGCCAGTGGAAATCCGTCTTCAGAACAAATTTAAAAGCTATTGAATACTCAACAGGCACTGGGACCAAGGCTGTATTTTTTGCATACGTCTTCTAAATTAGAATCTATTGAAATTCGGCCATGGAAACACTCTTTATACTTTTTAAACGATATTTTTAAGTTTTCATTCGCGCAATTGTAGCCAAAATTCCGGTATGCGACGTTCACATGCTTCTAAGTGAAAATCCACTATTTTTATTCCTAAGCAATGCAAAAAATTTTTTTGGAAGTCTGTTGTAGAAAAAAATTTGCTCTATCATACTGCGCATTTGCCAAGGTAAAAGCGGCAGTTATTGTGAAGGCGTGGGGCGAATTCCATTACGACTACCTGCGTGCCATGACAGGTGGACTTGCCAAGATTTTGTAGGCCCGCGTGGAAGCCAAAAGAGGCAATTTCGAAATTCAAAAACTGGGCTGTATCTGCAAGGGTTCGAATTATGTGTGCGCCAAATTTTTCGTTTCTAGGTATTTCCCTTCTCGTTTTGTACGAAAAAGTATTAGGCTCCCAGACTTTTGCCGCATCCTATAGAAAGTCCTACAATCGATGTACTAGAATACCAAACTTCGGTCGCATGTATATTGAAGAGCTGGCAAACAAAACACTAAATTTGCAAGATATTCCAATTCACTATTTCTTACAATTAGATGAAGTTTAGAATTTGCGGAAATTGACTAACTTCTCTATCATATATTGTGATTGGAAGATTATGAGTTCTTGACTTATATCAATACTATATGCTTCACAAAATTACTCAAGCACTGCAGCGCGAGCACTTGCTTCTCAAGGTAGCATCATTTCTTTTAAAAACATGAGTAGAACATAACTTGAATGCTGGAAATGCTTCAGTCATCTGCGGTTTCTAAACCTTATGAGAACCTAGCTTTTTTGTTTCTCGATTTCAGTTCTATTATCCTCAAATGCAATGAAGCACGTCTTACAGTGCCGTACACAATTCAGAATGAGGGCACCTAGAAGGAGGAGTAATGGGCGGAGCCGTTTGCCCTCGAGAAGGTGTGAAATCCTTCAAGGGAGTTTTGGAAGTGCCAAGTATCCCTCCGAGGAAAAGCGGCGAGGCTTTGGGAACTCCTGCCACGCCGCCGACCTCATTCATAGACACGCCGTAGATTTGCTAATGACATCACAGTTCTGTGATCATCCAAAGCTAACTCTAAGCTTACACTCGAGTGAAAGCATTTGAATTGAATAAGCATCTGAGAACACAACATCGAAAGGAAGTGAAAATGCAAAAATTGGAATACATAGCAAGAGTCAGAATTTGCCATAATTTTTCTCAGAATCTTCAGTGTTGTGTTTGAATCTTCCGTATGCGGTCAGTGTGGTTCGATGCTATCACTTCTGCGGGTGGCGAACACAACTATTATCCAAGCAAGCATTGGAAGCAGAGAAACTTACGAGTGTTGCGAACTTCATCTTTCGAGCTATCTGGAAACAATCATGATTGTGCTGTGTTGGTCTTACTGTTATTCTATCACTATGAAAGCTTTGTCGGTTTTTATCCATGAAGTCTGAATGGATGCCCAATCAACAGAAAGGCAGCATTTTGAAAACGCATCTGCGCAGCAAAATTCCAATTCCTCAGTTTTTCTCAGCCTCTCCTCTACCAATCTTTCTTGTTTCCAATCTCTCAAAGCCTCTTTACTGGTAGGATCTCAATGTGTAGAGAAAGTTGCAAACCCTTTTTCAGCGTCACTATCTCTGTTTCTCTATCATCTACGTTAGCGGGCAAAACGCTTAGAAATACACTAAGCACAATACTCTCGTTTTGCATAAAAAGTTCCACTCTAAATGAAGTCCTTTGAGGATCCATATACGGAAAATTTTTCGAATGAGCTGTTGCTGCTCTGGAGAAACCTTAGAGTAATCGAAGCTACTCTAGAAATAAACTTTTATATATGAAAAAGAAACGACCAAGAGAAACTTCAAACTGACTTGATGCTTACCTAGGTTGAGACGGCGTAATTAGTAGATGATGCAGCAGTCTGTTTTTAAACTTCGTCTTCGGATTCTTTTTTGTCTAGCATCCACTATGTCGCTGATACCTGGTCTTTGTATGTTCTGAGCAAGTTTTGGAGACATAGGCAGTATTTTAGTTCAATAAACGAATTGCTTTTCATCCTTACTTCATAAAAACTCGGCATAAATTCGTCCAACTATCTCGATCGGCAAATGTTGACTTCGCAGTCTGCACTGCAAATATTGCAAAGTTCTCATTGGGCAAACAACCACTGGTTTTTTCTCGGTGAGATATGGTTGCAGACGTCTTTTAGTCATCTCAAAACGATCGCAAGAACATGTCTTTGTTGAACAGCTTTGGTCTATAGTTGCCGTGTATCGGTATTGTGCCGGTAGAGGAAGCCGCAAAATTTCATTTCATTTATCTCAGTACGCTCAAGGCGTAGAAAAATACGACAATGGATTAGACCTGTGGCCGTATTCATCAACGAATTCTGAGGGTAAGCCCTACCCTCAAGGTGAGGTTAGGGTTTACCTTTGGGCTCATTGTCCGTATTCATCAACGAACCTTTTAGGGTAGGGTAGAGTTTACCTACCGATCAACCAGTACCAATCAATCCTTGAGAAACCTCACCCCAGTAAGCGACCAACCCGTTCTTCATGAACGTGACTCATCAGGGTAAATTTATCCTACCATAGAGCAACATTAAATTCACTCTGCGCTTCCTACAAAAATCAGATGGTCTCTCGACTCCGTCTTAGCGATAGTTTTGAAAATAAGCACATATTTATGGTTACTACTATCTCAAACTTCCTATAGCCACTTTTTGTTGTCTTTGTTTGATGTTAACATTCGATATTATGTGCCGCGTTGTTACAGTAAAAATTCTTGAGTAGGGTACATGCCCAAAAAGATCAAGCAGGTCAAATGTGTTGATTGAGTAGCAACTTTTGATGTCATCTGACAAGGGAACCGTGTCGAGTCGAAGTGGCCTTTCCAGATGAGACCCATACTGCTTTGAAGAGTATTAAACGGTGATTCCAAATCTGCCTTCCAAATCTGCCAAGCGCCTCTGGACGCCGAGTTATGACCGTTCTTCGGAACGAAAAATGAATGCAAAATTTAGGTAAAATTGATTGTTACAATCTTTCCAGCGCTCAGGTAAAGCAATGTTAAGTATTAGCATAATAAATAAAATGTATCCATTGCATAAACACCTCTTACACTTGACATTGGATCATTCGAGCAGATTTGGGCGATTTTGCTTCAGTTTTGCGTTCAATTTTTTGACCTGAAAAACGAGCATAACTCGGCGTCCAGAGGCGCTTGGCAGAGAAAGCAGATTTGGAATCATAGATTAATGCTCTTCAAAGCAGTATGGGTCCCATCTGGAAAGGCCACTTCGACTCGACACGGTTCCCTTGTGAGTGGAGAATAATTTGTATGTCCAAATTTTCTCAAAATCTGATAAACAAGTGTGTAAGAATTCGAAAGAAAATTTTTCTTCTAGTTCGTCACTGAATGGTTGGACTGTCTGCATTGAGTCATTTGACATTTCCCACTCTTCTACGAGACATCAAATAACACAGTGCAACCTGCATGACTTATGAAAGTAAAAAAATTGTGGAGCAAATGTGGAAATTATCTCCTGAACAGTTTTTACACTGATTTGATAGCGCAGACCGAATTGCATAATTTTTGAAAACTAAAGAAAATGAGGGTCAATTTTCGCTCGCATTCATGGCTTAAAATCGATGCTTGATAATTAGAGATGTGCACTCTACGCCAAAAGAAATGATTTGGCAAAGCATATCCTCCTCGACTTTGAAAGTTGCGTCTACAGCTGAATTTTTGTACTTTGTTGAGAGCAATATCCATACTACAGAGCAAATAAGAGTTTTATACTTTGAGAACAAGATACCTGTTACTGCGGACAAATAAAATATTCTGCTTTCTAGATGGTTAACGTGACAAGTAAGGTTACATATCATCAGATTAATTCATCGGATTCCGTTTCTCTGTTTATACTCGCATTGCTTAATAGCGGCTTTACGCTTCTTTCTCAGCAACTTCTGTAATTTGAAAAGTTTAGCATTGATTTCGCCAAACTTGAGACACGGACATAATGCGATTGATCTGTGTCGTACTGTTCGTACTTGAATTCTTCGTCATCATCCACAGAAGAATATTCGTCCGTGTCGTATTCTGGTATCTCGTGATGTACATCATCATTATTGGCAGCGAAGTTATCCCTGGTCACCTAAACAGAAATTGGGAGCTGATCTTTTCTACACTTCCACTTTCTACATCCAATTTACAACTAACTATTGGGTTAGCATCCAATTCGCTGCCCACTATGTGCCTTGCACAAGTGCGCAGCGAATTGGATGCTGACCCGAAAGTTATTGTGAATTCACAAATGACTATGTTATATTCAGATCTCCGCAATGAAGTGAAACAAATTCTGTGATATTATTCATCATTACTTCATTAGGTCCGTACTGCTCGTTTTGCGAGTCTCCTCCGGAAAGTTCTCCATCAGGGTCGTAAGAACTTGAGTAATCCTCATCATATTGTGCGTCGTAGAAATCATCTTCCGCCACCTGTTGAGAGAAGTTTTTTTGAAGTAACTATCTTAGCCGAGTTTTTTTTTTCATGTAAAACCAAACTGATATTAGCAAGACTATAATTTGTTTGATTCTAACTATACCATTTGATTAAAATAGTATAAACACTTCTTTGTAAATTAATGAGACCAGTTCCAAGTTATTCTCCTTGAGTCACAGACAACCCTCAAACTCACTCCACTTTCTGTTTCGGAGAGTTCTTCATCATCTATTTCCCAGAAATTCCTCCACACCTTCTAAACGGGACACAGTAAACTATGTCATTACATTAAAAGATGATGGATTTTTTGAGAATAATTATTTCATTCCACAGCCTCCGATAGATACCAATAATTTTTCGGACATCTGCTCCAAGTCTTCAGATGGAAACCGTCCCTCTTTTACTGCATTGATCTCTTCCTCCTTAATAGAACTTCATTGTACCACCCTCTCAAACTAACAAGGGAATGGTCAGAAGTCGAAGTGGCCAATCCATACAAGCTGCATACCATTAGATGCAGCATAAAACGCTGACTCTAAATCTGTGTTCCTTATCTGCAGAGCACTTTTGTGGACGAAATTATAAGCTGTTGAAGGCCATTATTTTGCTAAGAAATTGTGCGTGTAAAGCGTAAATTTGGTCCTACAAAGCCAATCGGCTCAGTGTTGGATCAGAACATGCATTTAAGTCACTTCGTATAACCCATATAGCAGTAAAGCTGCTCATAACTTCACCTACAAAGGGGCTCTGCGGATATGGAAGACAAATTTGAAATCACCATTTTGTGCTGCATCGAATGGTATGCACCTTGTATGGATTGGCCACTTCGACTTCTGACCATTCCCTTGTAAGTGCCTACCAGAAAACCCAGAGCACTCAAAACAATCCAAAAATGTGGGTCTCTTTTAGGCCCACGCCAAAGTGTCGCTATCCACGCTTCGTGTAAGCTCAGAACCTGCAATAAAATACTGATTTGTGATCTCTCCAAACATCAGCCTAATCCAGAACCAAAAATAAGACCTTTTGCAATGCAGATGAACGTCTCTGCTCTTGTTGTTGCGAATTTTCAAGTGCAAGATTGTGCTCCTCTATCTAAACATCTGTACATTAGCATAGGAGCGATAATTACATAGATTAAGACCTTGCTGGTCAACTCTTGCTGCTGCTTTCGAAGAGTCTTGTTCGCTTCCAAAAATGAGGAAAACCATTTTTCCAAATTAATCTTTTGTTGCAAAGCCTGCAAACATATATCATTCCAACATTATTCATTATTTGTTTATCTACTTGATCACGATAATTGTTGAATGATGACCTTCTCTAAAGCAGATGAAAGCTCCTTCTCACGTTGTTGCAACTGCTTGAGTGTAGAGTATAGTTCTTTCTCCTGAACAAACTGTTAAGATCAAAAGATAAAGCTTGCTCTCCAAACCTTTCCCATTTCCTCTTGCAGCTGACATTGGAGGGTTTCGATCGTTTTGAATAGTGATGCCCTTTCTTTTTCCCAAATTTTTGTCTTCTCTACTTCCTATTAAAGAAGAGATGATATTGTTGTTCTCTTAAGAAGTTTTGCGAAAGCCACAAAATAAGCTGAATGAATAAGCATATAAAGACCCTATTCAAACTCGATGATAACTCTTGCTCCCGTTGTTTCAGCTTTCCTAGCGCAAGATTGAGGTCTGCTATCTAGACAACAACTTTTATTTTTGACAACAAACAACTTCTGAGTTGCATACCTTCTTATTCGAGTCTTGCGCTTGCTGAGAAAGAGCCCTTTTTCTCTTTAACAATGAATCCGTCTCTTTCTTCTGCATTCTTGTTTGTTCCATAGCCTACAAAGAAAAACTTCAAATAATAAGTGGAATGCATTTATTCTGACTAAAAGGCCAGTGACATCTACAAGCTTCTGAGATATTCAGCAATCTGCAGCTGCCACATAGAGGCTTAAATGAACGAGAACCTTTTCTAAAGCAGATGAGAGCTCCTCCTCTCGTTGATGCGATTCTTTCAAGGCGGATTCTAACTCGCTTATCTGAATAATACAATGATCGTAAATCGAATTGAATATAAATCAAACACTTTTTCAGTGGAGTCTTGTAGCTGACGCTGAATGCCCTTGTTCAAGTTGAGAAGAGAATCGTTTTCCTTTTCCCGAATGTTTGCTTCTCCCACAACCTGGAAAGGAATCTCCCTTTGGTGAATAATTTCCAAGATGACCAAGTACATGAAAATGAATTTTTCCGATGATTAGACAGTCACAAACTGAGAGTTGTTGAGAGCTGAGAAAAAACAACTATGTTCTCGGTAGAAGAAAGGAGAGAGACTACCTTTTCAAAATCTAACGCAATGTTCTTTTCTTGTTGTCGCGATTTTTCGAGTTCAACTTCCAGATGCGCGACCTGAAAAAAAAGAGGTTTTGTCGCAAAGTCCTACATAAATTCCGCACCTTTCTGGTTGATTCGAGTAGCTGAGCCTGAAGCTTTGCAATATCTACTAGTAGCTGCTGCACTTTTGCCTTCCATTTATCACTTTCCTTTTCAGCCTGCAACCACAGAAAATGCTTTCAAACTAGACATCGTCGACTCTAAAATGCAGTCGAACCTTTTCAGCTATAGACTCTCTTGGAAAGACTATGAACAGGGTCAAGCAAGGGGTGTGGCACACGATCGCTGGTTACGACCCCCCCCCCCTGATTGCTGCCTTAATAAGACCCCCCCCCCTGAACTATATACCTAAGATAGCATTACCAGAGTTGAGAAAGAGGTCAGGCACAAGTCTTTCGAATACAACTCCCCCCCCCCCTTCCCATGAAAGCCCTCAAACGACCCCTTCTTCCTCCTCTTAACCTCTGGACCTCAAAGTGTGACATTCTGGAGGACACCAGCTTTTTGTAGGGAGTTTCCGGACTTTTGAGAGCTGTACGCCCGATTTTCTGTGACTGCACTTTAAAATCACACAATCACTTTACAATCGTAATTTCACGCCTGATTTTGATCTGAATGGGCATATTGAAAGGGCCATAATTTTCTTATGGGTGGGGCGTTCGGCTCCAAATTTCCAGTGTAGCAAGAAGAAGCTATGTGTTCAATACTCATACCAGCAATGGAGCGCTTTCTGGATTTTGAAGGCAAGTTAAGGGGGTGTGCCGCACCCCATTAACTATATCAAAAAAAAACATTTTTAGCGGACAGTATTTATATAAATCGGTAACCTAAAGCTTGTAGATTCCGTAGGACTGTTTGGAGCCTGATTCGTCTTCTTAGCTCTGAGTAATATTTGGTGGAAGCACAGCGATCAAAAGCGAAAAGTGGGAAAAACGAGATTTTGGTTGGCTTCTAATTCCACAGTTTGCAGGTCTTCTGAAGCGGGATTTCTGAAATGGACAAAGAAGGAGCAGTGCTTTGTCTTAAGTGCAAAAACGGATAGCTAACTCACCTTTGAAACAAAGTTAACCATGTTGGAGTTTGACCATTTCATTTAGGTAGCCTAGTATCTTGAATCTTCAGAATTCGCTCACACTTTGTCTACAGGGATTATTTGACATGTTAATTATGGATATGATACGAATATCATGTTATCACTATTATCAGATTACCCAACTACGACCCCCTCCCCTTTTGACTCCTCAATACGACCCCCCAGGTGTGGCGTGCCGCACCCCACGCTTGACCCTGGACTATGAACTGGATTGATCTCTCCAAAATTCAATTTCTAGAATATTATGAATGAACTTACCTCCGGCAGTTTCAGTGAAACTCCTCGCTCTCTGTGCTCTGTTTCTTTCACAAGAAAAGCAAGGGCCATCTGAATGATTTTCTGTGCAAAACGATGGAAATTGACCTTTTGTTCTGGATTCTACCCTTTTATTCAAGTCTTCCACTTCGCGATGGAGATTTTTGTTTTCATCCATAAGCAAACCTGAGATATTCTTCCACATTTTAGTCTGCTCCAGAGCCTGAGAATTGAAGAATAAAGCATGAAGCAGAACTACATCAGACAGTTTGCAATATGCGTGGATTACCACGGGGTGGAGAAATAACTCTGTTCACCGTTTGAAAATCTAGAGTCGTGTCCTTTTCATGCTGCGTGGAGTCAACAAGCAGACGTTGAAGTTTTTGTATCTGAAAAATAACTTTTTGTACTTAATGAAATGAGGTTATCTGCGTGATGACGTATACAAACCACGACTGATACCTAACCTCTTCATTCGTCTTCATTAATTCCACCTTCATCAACTGGTTGTCCTTCTCAACAGTGTGCATTCTACGCTCCCACATCTGCACCATCTGCCATTTAGAAGCTTGTGTTGAGGTTTATCTAGGTTACTCCACAAAAACTTTTTAAATCTTTTCGTCAAATCTTTTTGTGTAAGGCTCAATTTGACGAAAATGAATCTTCCAGAGCTGCACACGCTCAGGGACTCGCACCGTGCGGGCGGCCAGCGACGAACTTACAATCGCTCGTTGGTGTGTGCGATTGTACGGTCGTCAAAGGCCGTTAGCACGGTTGACGTGGGGCGCCCGCACGGTTTCTAATGCTCGCCGCTTGCGCGGGGAAGGTCGGCCGCTCGCTTGCTGCTGGAATAGGTTTATATGGGGTATTTTGCACATTTTTCATGGGTTAATCATTCACATTCTATAGTATGAACATGTATGGATGCCTGCAGCACTACCCAGACTTTTCATGGAGAAGCCCACACCATCACTCTTGGTAACTGTAGCCTCACACAGGTTCATTCCAGCTTTGCGGTGAGGAATGTTGATAACAAGATATGCCGACGCTTAGCCAGCCTAAACGCTGCGTCGTATCTCACGCAGGTGCCGTTTACGCTCACAGTGTGTCAAAATAATGAGCCGAAGGTAGAGGTCAGTGTTGGCCGCTTGCACGGGCAAATGTTTGCCGCCCGATCGAACGGACACATTGCCTGCCGCTTGCACAGTCGATTTTATTGCGTACCGATTGCACGGCGAGATTGCCTGCCGCTTGTACGATCAAGTGTTTGCTGGCCGATCGTGCGGACGCATTGCCTGCCGCTTGCACGGTCGATTTCATTGCGTGCCGATCGAACGGGTAGACTGTCTTCCGCTTGCACGGCATTTTTATTGTTGACCGCATGCACGGTACATCAAAAACTATGCAGTGCGCTCAGGCGGAGGAGCTTTAATGAGGACCGCCCGCACGGCGCGAATCCCTGAGCGGCATTCTCATTCTATGCAAGCTCCAAATCCAGAGTAAAGATTTTGCTAACCTGGTCAACTGTTGCAGCCAAAATTTGCAGAGCTTCAGCTTCGTCTTGCACTCTTTCTGCTTCATCCTTCCACTTCGACAGATGTTCTTTCATCTGCGATTGCCTTTGTAAACCACATTCTGATTTCTTCCAGAACAACAAAGTACACTATTGCGAATGGAATATAAATTTCTACTAGTTGGATGGCAATTTCATGGGGTCTCAATATTTGGAAGAAACGCTTCGCGAACAAACTAAACCTGTTCAGCTGATGCAGCCAAAATTCGGAAATTTTCATTTTCTCGTTGCAGTTCTTCACTTTTAACCTTCCATTCTGCCAAACCGTTCATCACCTAAAACTCTACGATCAACATGCAACTGAAGTAAGATTTTTCAAATTTTAGCTCAAAATTATAGTCAAAACAAAATAAAGTTTGGATTTTCATCACAAGCTGTGTTACTGTATGATTATGGTAGAGCACCCAGCATTTTGCACCATGGTGAACTAGTCTTAGAAAAAACTGAGATTCATGCATGCTGATTTCACTTCTTTGAGTTTTCGCAAGTCTGCAAAGTCTTTGAACGATGTAATCGTACTCTAGGAAATATCGAACTTTTTATAGAGTGCAGCCCAACACTACCCAAGTAACTAGCACGCGCATATGATAGCCTGCATGCTAAACTAACGTTACTCGGCGACAGTGCCTCGAATGGGGCCGCCAACATGAACGATAGCTTGTGCCAGCCATATGCTGGGTAAGTCAAAAAACATACTCCATATTCACGCTATGATGAGATCAAAAAATTTGGAAGAAACGCTGGAGCTTAGTGGGCCCTAATCTTTACTTTTCGAGAGCATCTTCGATCCAGCTAAAAACACATTGTTCCAAAAAGAACGACTGTATGCGCGCCTTATTTACTGGGCTTATCAGCAGTGTCGCGTGCACCAGCTCTGTTACGCGGCCACTTCGCCTGGATTCTGCACCTCTTCCGGCAACATGCTCTCTGGTCACTTTCCGCGAGTGTGGAAAGGCGAAATCTGAATCGATTGGAATTGTCTGGATAGCATCTTCGAGGAAGACAGAGTCTCACGCGGGAGTGGAGATGCCTACGCACCCGACACTGCAGTTGATAAGCCCTGTACAACCGTAAGACTACAGTGAGCTTATTTGCAGCTATCGTTCATCTTGGTATCCCCCCCCCCCTCCCCCCCCGAACCTGAGCCTTGTATGTATCACCGTAGACCCGAAATATTCACATGTTGTATTTTTGCCTTTCTGTCTCAGTTTCTTTTCATTTGATGGAAGGAAATTGGTATGTTAATCTTTGACAGAATCCTTACCATGTCGTAGGTGGATCTGTAGATATCTTTCTCAGCTTCACAAGGATCCATGAGTTTCACTTGATCCCGCATATACTCCCTCTCATCTTCGTTCTCCGCGGGCCAGTGGACAAGATTGGGTCTACCTCCTGCACAAGCTTGAGAATCATTCGTAGCACTGATTTTCCGATTCGAGATCGTCAAAACCACTAGAATGTAGACTAAAAAGGCAGTCGCATTCAATCATTGCGAAGCTAACATTCGACTTCTTCTCGGGTGTTATCCGTCTTTTCTTCATCATCAGCCTCATCACTTGCTTTTCGACTGGCGGCTGGCTGTCTAGCTTCTTTGGAAATCTATGAATATAGTCACTTCATGGAGTCTACTTCACAGCGGATTAGCACCTTACCTCAGTCTCAAAAGCAGACGGTTTATTTGTTGAAAGATGAGTCTTCGCATCTGTATGCTTGTAAAAAGCTGTCTGACCTGCTTTATCGTTGAATAATTCCTCCTCCATTTCATGAATGGCCAATCCCTAAAAACTCAAATCAGAAGCGCAGAAAATTTATGAGCATAGATAAAAACTTCGGAACAAACGAAAAAAATTCAGCGATGTTTATGCTTACGTAACCTGACTGTGCCGGCGGTGGCCGAAATGTTTCGTTGCAGGACCCATGTGTTTCTGAGGTGATGCGCCCGTACATCACACTACTCGAGTGCCAAACAAATTGATGGTCTTGACAGTCATCTGATGGCCTTGGCAATTACCTAATGAATTCGCAATGTATTCTATAAACTGTAAAGTTAGTCTTGTTAGAGGCACCGTCTCACCAAAATGAGGTAGTGCGAGTCTCCACATATCTTGTTAGAGGACCCCCTGAACAGGCGACCGCTCCAAGTCTGACTCGATAAGGGCCCTTCTATGCCGAGAAATTCGCCCTCAAAGTGGCCCGCAAAGCTCGATTTGGCACTCACTGCCCACGCTCCCGGTTTCCCCCTTAGGCCTAAGGCATACCTCACGCGATTCGGCCAAATCGCCACTTTTACGCGATTTGACAGTTTGCCAGATTTCTACAAATTCATCGTGCATTCTCCTCGAACGCGCATTTGCGTAACTTGTGTAAGTTGTTGCAAACGGATCAAGTTCTGACCAAAGGCAGCGCATCAACGATGATTTACGAAGAGTCGCTGTTGTGCCAAATCACGCAGAGACCGGAATCGCGCGAGGTATGCCTTTTAGGCCTTAGGCCTCGAACAAGTTCATGCGATTTGATCGTCGCGATTCATCGCTACAAGATAAGTGTTACGAGTTCATTGCATGGCGATCTTCTTGTATTGCGGTTGTGATAGTTAGTCACGATTAGTCGTGTTGGAAAACCATCACAACCGAAATGCAAGAAGGAATGCAATGATATTGTTACAGCTGCCTTGTTCGCGATGATCAAATCGCATGAAATCTGCCCGAGGACTTACGCGTTTCTAAACGTTTCTAAACGCGTCCACTTGACGTCCACCTTCATGGTGTTGGTGCCCACCTGTGGCGAAGGCAATAATAGTTGTGCCAGAACTTCGACCAGAACTACAATAATTGTGCCAGAATTTCGTATTCAGGATTCTCTATGGACTGAGAATTTTGTGAAGATGAATGTGGAACAGCATTTTCCAAACTCACTATTGATTTTTGATACTGTTGGAAATGATCAGGTATGATCAACTCTTCCAATTCCTTACCTCATCTTACTTTTGAACTTCGTATACCTATAAATTGCTCTTATTCTATCGGAAAATGGGAGCGCTGCAGGAGCAATCACTGTGCTTTTCCCCGAGTTATATAGATGCCTATGAAAAAAGCGAATTGGCATGTCAAAATACATCTACAGCCATCCATGCCCCCTTGTGTTTAGGTGCCAATATACGAACGCTCAATGAAGGGTTGGATATGCGGATCAACATTTTTCAGTTCGAGCCAGTCCAGTGACTGCTAGTTTCTTCGAAAAGGTATCTGCTACGTCGAATAAAAGTTGTCCGTGACTTTCATACTGATAATGCGTTGCCATACTTTCAAAAGCTTCAAAAATAATATATTTTCAGGTGGCATTGCTGATGACCCGTCGGCAGTCACCAGATTCTTCGATTATGACGTATCCATGCGGTGCACCACAATACTACTGCGCAAAGATGCCTCGCTGGTAACTTTTGTAGATACTTGTCTGTTGGAAGTTCTAAGTTATTTCGCCATAAATTGAATGCTTGCAAACCAGGGGCGGACAGGTTATGCTTATAATTGCCCTCTAAACTGAACTTGTCCTTTTAGGGTTGTCTCATCGTCGAATTTTTTCATGGGTGATAGAAGTATGATTCCCTTCATTATACAGGTAAGCTTTATATGCTAATGATGTACCTTTATGGGAAGAAACAAACTCGTGAACTTCAATGTTCGATCAAAAGCTACCCCCCCCCCCTCCCCCATATCCAAGGAAAAAATCATCTACACTTCAGGTTGATCATGAATCAAAAATGTCTAAGATGGAGCTATTCAGAAAGGAGAACTTTTTGTTTATGAAGGACGATGGATCGTGTAACGCTTCTTCTATCGTGCACCTGAAGTGAGGAATCTTCTGTTCAATTTTATCACGCCTGCATAAAAAAATTTCATTGACCTTTTGCGCGGATCAATAATGAACTGCTTTTCAGGGAGGCTGTCAGTGTTGCACTCGATGAGGTTCGAGTAGAAGTAAAGGACGAAGAAATGGCTGTGTTAGATTATGTACTCTGGAATCTGCATAGGTGGTTCGGACTCGATCCATACAACAACAAAAACTTCCTCAGAGTGCATGAAGGAATTATCTAATAAAATTTGACATAGACTTCATGAGTCTGGACCATTGTTCTTTGCATATATTTGGTTGATACAGTGTGAAGGTATTAGTCTGTAATCTCTTCATCTAACAGGGGAAGGATACTCGGTCGAAGTGGCCATTTGGAATGAGCTGTATATTAGGAAACCGTCCTCCGTAAGGCAAACTCAAAACTACTTTCGCTAGGTGCCGAGCGGTTTTGTGGGGGGAGTTACAAGGCTATTTTCCTCCGGCGCAGCCAGCGCACCCATTAATGACCGAGGCGCTAGAATAACGCAGCAGTGTGGCAGTGGCGCAGTGGCAACGGAGCGGACTACGAAGCAGATGATCGAGGGTTCGAGTCCTGTTACTGCTAATTTGTTTTGCAGTTCTGTAAAAAGTCTATTGGGTGACAGCAAACGAGAAATACTATTTCTAGGCAGTTCAAACAAGCTATTTACTGCAAAAAAGTCACTATTTCTACATTAAGCCATAATCTTTTACAATATGTAAATCTGTGGAGGTTATGATGTCACAAGAATGGGTTCAAATGATATATTAACATGTATGGAATACAACCACAAAATGCACAAAGCAGAAAAGCTTCTCGCAACGCGCGCACTTGCAAAATTGCAATCGATTCACATCCCATTTATTGGCTCTTGATCTGAACTTTACCTTGCATCATAGGGATTCCATCCTTAAGATCTTATCGCTCATTTACATACAATTTTGCTCGCCGCGATTCAAAAATTTGCTTTCATACCCATGGATGCAGCCGGATACAATGACAACCACCCCGGCGAATTCGAGTCTCTTATTCAGTACTGTTTTTCACCGACTTTGATAGACAATTGTGAAGCTGCTGATTGTCATCGTTTTATTTTATCCGATGTGCGCGCTGCGAGAAGCTCTTCTACTTTGAGCATTTTGTGGTTGTATTCCATACATATTAATATATCACTTGAATCCCTTGTTGTGACATCATAACCTCCACAGATTTACATATTTTAAAAGATTATTGTTTATTGCAGAAAGTGGCTTTTTTGCAGTAACTAGCTTGTTTCGACTGCCTAGAAATAGTATTTCTCGTTTGCTGTCACCCAATTGCCTTTTTACAGAACTGAAAAACAAAATAGCAGCAACAGGACTCGAACCCTCGATCATCTCCTTCGTAGTCCGCTGCGTTGCCACTGCGCCACTGCCACACTGCTGCGTTATTCTAGCGCCTCGCCCATTACTGGGTGCGCTGGCTGCGCCGGAGGAAAATGGCCTTGTAACTCCCCCCACAAAACCGCTCGGCACCTAGCGAAAGTAGTTTTGAGTTTGCCTTACGGAGGACGGTTTCCTAATAAACAGCTCATTCCAAATGGCCGCTTCGACCGAGTATCCTTCCCGTACGTCCTATCTTAGAGGCGGAAGAAACAAGTTCGTAGAAGCTCATGTGCTTGAATCCCTCCGCTGGCACGAGAAAAATGAATTTGCTTTGCTAAGGTGGGTAGAAAATGCCATTCCAAAGTCCAGGTGCTTCTTCAGTTGATTGTTTTCGTGCCTGTCCTCAGTACTTATCTTTTCTCTGACCAAGCACAGTTTGTGTAGTGAGCTGTGCCTCGACTCTAAGATGACGAAGAGTTTCCAAGAAGATTTTTCTTGAAAACTTGTCCTCGTCCTTGTGATTTTATCATCATTACCGTTTTCCTCATTTTCCATGCTTTTATTTGTGAATTTTTCGCATCATTACAAGAGAACAAAGTCCTTACTCTTCTCCAATGTCGCCTTATATCATTTTTTGAGATCATTGGCAACTTGAAATTTGGACTTTCGTTCAACTTTTGAGAACCTCGATTTCTCTCCATTCAACGCTTTGATCCCTTCATTCCCGCGACAATCATATCTGCAGCATTTGCGTTACGTCATTTCACATTTTTTAACTTATGAAATTCGCAAAAAGCATGCTTCTCCCAAAAATGAGCATTTGCGGCTTCACAAGGATTATTTTTGAAAATGAATTGAATAAAAATTGAAAAATACGATACTATAGAGAGAAAGATTTACAGAAGTTCCTGAAAATTGTCCTCTAAATATGTGGCTCTTTCGATCCACTTTAGTATGCGTACAACACTGTATGAGTTAATACTTCGTGATCAGAAGCAAACCACTCGGCGAATGCACAAATATTGTCCTGGCAGAGACATTACTTATGATATGAATTACGATAGTGCCCTTTTTCCAGGTTTTGAGTTGATATCGCCATCACAAAGCTCTTTTGGCACACACAATCCGTTTTTGTTGCGTAGGTATCCATCTTGGCAAGTGCATCCTCCAGGTCCACACAGTAGAATACATGCAACCTAAATTTTATCTCGATATACAAAATATGAAGAAAGTATGACGAAATGAGTATACCACAGGTGCATCACAGGTCGGCTCACACCCGTTGAAACAATTATTGTAGATCTCATTTTCACCACAACCCGTGTCGAAACCCAGCATTCCTCTTCCTTTGCCTATCGATACAGTATAGCTTACTTCATAAGGTATATACTAATTGCCACTTTGTGAGTTGTGACGTACCTACGGCGCTGCTCATAAGTGCTAGTATGACCACCTGAAAACTACTATATCGACATGGGGCACAGGGCTTATCAATTGCAGTGTCGAGTGCACCAGCATCTCCACTCCAGCGCTGGACATTGCAGCTCTTCTGCAAACATGCTCTCTAATCATATCCAATCGACTGAGGCTCCGCCTCTCCTACGTTCGCGGTGGGAGTGATCAGAGAGCGTTTCGCGAATGAGCTGCAGAGTCCAGGCGAAGCGGAAGAGTGGAGGTGCTGATGCTCGCAACGGTCCAGTTGATAAGCCCTGTAGTCGTGTTAGCCGATGTTTTACAATTGGTTTTCGAACAAGCTTGGGCGAGTCCCTGTTTGAAAATTTTAGAATGCAAAGGGTGTGCACGTTAATTGAGTTGGTGTGGCTATATGGACCCCTATGCATCGTAAATATAGAATTTGTGTCAAGATGAATTGCGCCTCCGTCTGGCAGTAGTTTTAACACATTCACGAACAAGACCGATTTTTCAACGATTTCCATTTCGGACAAGAGCAGATTCGCATTATTGAGTTTGCTTAATGTTTTCTGGTCACTGATGTGTCCCATGGTCTGAAGTAATCTTCTGGGAGTTATACTAAGAGATCTCAGAATAATATTCAGTTGGCCAGAATGTTTCGTCATAAACTAGCAAAATCAATAACTTTAGAACCCACCCATTGATTGTCCGAAATGGCAGGAGCATGACCCATCGGTGGGTCGCATTGTCATGAATGTGTTGAAGCAAACATGTGCCAAGCTGGCTTTCCATATTGTGAATAACGCAAAATTTTCATCGATTCCTGAGTTTGTTAGTTCCATAGAATAACGATTTTGACATAGTGTTAAGAGCGGTGCCGCCAAGCATTTCCCGTTATTTCGGTTTACAAAAGTAACTCATTTGCAAACCGGATAGTCTTGTCCTGGTACAAGACTGAATTGAATTGGTTTAACAGAGCTTTGTGCGTAACTGCCACCTCAGATTTATGTGCCGTAACTTCATGTGAAAATGGCCTACACGAGTTGTAAAACTGTGCACAACTGAGTCAATTAAAAGTTTATAAAAACTCAAATGTTGGAATTTTTTATCGGGGAGGAAGGATGGGTGTGACGGCAGTCGGGAACATTTGAATTTTGAAATTCAGTCGCCTTCGTTATCAGATTGTCCCGTAGGTTCGGTCCGCTCTTCTCATCCGAATAGCTTCCATATTTTTGGTGAACAAAAGAGCTCTGGGGTATCGCGAAACGGGATATACAAACTGGCGCCCAAACATTTGTACAGAATTCGTTCCACAATGAGTTGAAAATCAAAATCCAAAAATCTTACAAAAGTCGAAAACCCGAAAAAATTAGAACTTTGCTCTAAAGATTTCTGGGAAGATCTGATTCGTTCAAACATATGTATCTCTAAACTAGCATTCGTGTGCACACTTATTGTAACTTTCCCATTGCTGGGAAGCAATATAATACAATTCGGCATGTTTTTTTCAAAGCGAAGCCATGCTCCTTCCATAAAGCTAATTTTATTGCATATGTCTTCAGAAGTATACCACAATATCTTAGCTTTCTATGAGCGATATTTTTCGAGAAAGTTCACATTTAGCGTAAAATTCCTCAAAAGCTACATTTTCGTTATTTCGACCTATTGACATTTCTCGATTTTTAGCGCTATGAAAATATTAGGTTGTCCCAAAAGTTCTTGCGCCGGATTTTCAAAAAATCATAACTTCCCTGCCACTCAATGGATTTTCTCAAATTCAATCTCGTTTGAAAGAGGAAACCTTTCTATTTACAGCAGTACCTTTGCCATGAATTGGTATTAGGAAGTTCCAGAGCTAGAGGCAATTGAACGAAATCAGTCAAGATCGACATTTTTCAAGCTGGATCACGAAAAATTCTGAAAGTATTTTTATTAGATAAAGAAAATTCTGCACATTACAGCGGTACCTTTTTCATGAATTAAAACTGAGTAGACCGAGAGTTAGAAGCAAATAAAGAGAATTTCTTTACTTTTGCAATTTTTGAGCATGCTCAAAAAAGTTTGAAAACGTCACAGAAAAAGCGAAAAAGTCATAAACATGGGTTTTGCGATTTTTTCTTTTTAGCTGAGCGAGTTTCGAGCTGATCGAGAGCAATTTTGATTTTCGTGAAAAACGCAGACCCGAAAATCCGAAAAAATCACGAAAATCAAAATTGCTCCCGAATGGCACGATTTTTGCTCAGCTAGAAAGGGAAGGTCGCAAAACCCATGCTTATGACTTTTTCGCCTTTTCTGTGACGTTTTCAAGCTTTTTTGAGCATGCTCAAAAATTGCAAAAGTGAAGAAATTCTCTTTATTTGCTTCTAACTCTCGGTCTACTCAGTTTTAATTCATGGAAAAGGTACTACTGTAATGTACAAAATTTTCTCTACCAAACAAAAATACTTCCAGAATTTTTCGTGATCCAGCTTGAAAAATGTCGATCTTGACTGATTTCGTTCAATTGCCTCTAGCTCTGGAACTTCCTAATACCAATTCATGGCAAAGGTAATGCTGTAAATAGAAAGGTTTCCTCTTTCAAACGAGATTGAATTTGAGAAAATCCATTGAGTGGCAGGGAAGTTATGATTTTTTGAAAATCCGGCGCAAGAACTTTTGGGACAACCTAATATAAAGTGCGGTTCATATTTATACGAACACCCAAAACTTTGTAAGTTTTCGGACTTTTTGGGAGAAACTCAAAAAGCCGTTGGTACCACGCGATAGAACACAGCCGAAAATGGTATATGATCCATAAGAATGGAGATCGATTTCAACTGTAGGAGTGTTTTTGCGCCTAATGCGAATTTTTAGTGATCCATAATTATGCGAACACCTCAAACAAAGGTCCATTTTTCATTCAAGATTGCAATCATTTGATTCCAAATTTTTTGTAGAGTTACAGTAACAAAGTCTGAAACATCCGCTACATACTGAACCCAGTGCAGTTTAAAAAAGGGATCTTTACTTTTTTCAGAAGGCTCTAAATGCTTTTGGAGTGATTGCGCTCCAAAAACATCCGTTCTTCTGTGGTTTACGCGCTTTAGGTAGCTTCTACCAAAGCTATAAAATAGAATAAGCTCTTTCGATAGGTATTTTGTTTGACGCTTGGAAAATCTTTGCGTTTTCGTGCCGTTTTTCAACCAAGTTCCAACCTTACCCTAGAGTTAGCACGATTTCGAGTTTCAAAACTCAGCTTCTCTCTTGCACAAACATTTGATATGAAGCAGCTGCATTGTTTGCATGATGATGTTTCTGTGCCAAAGTTTTTGGGTTTTTCCTAAAACTGATCTTGCGGCTGTGGAGCTACAAACCAAATAAAGGTGTGATTGCAATAGTAAAAACAGTATTTCTGGTGAAATGACGTCTGCGTGACCAAAACAAACGCTCAACACGCTGCTGATTTTTTCTAACCAAATATAAAGTCTTGTGAACTTCTACATACTATATGATTACTTCATTTAACGGCTTCAGGAGTTGAGTTTTGAGGCTCGAAATCATGCCAACTCTATGGTAACTCTATGGTAACTCTATGGAACTTGGTTGAAAAACGGCACGAAAACGCAGAGATATTCCAAGCGTCAAACAAAATACCTATCGAAAGAGCTTATTTCATCTCATAGTTTTGATAGAAGCTAATCAGAGCGCGTAAACTACAGAAGAACGGATGTTTTGGAGCGCAATCACTCCAAAACCGCAATCACTCCAAAACCATTTAGAGCCTTCTGAAAAAAGTAACAATAATCGTTTTGAACTGCACTGGATTCACTGTATAGCATATATGTCAGACTTTACTGTAACTCTACAAAAAATTTGGACTCAAATGATTGCAATCTTGAATGAAAAATAGACCTTTGTTTGAGGTGTTCGTATGTTTATGAACCGCTAAAAATTCGCATTAGGCGCAAAAACACTCCTACAGTTGACATCGATTTCCATTCTTATGGATCATATACCGTTTTCGGCTGTGTTCTATCGCGTGGTATCAACGGCTTTTTGAGTTTCTCCGAAAAAGTCCAAAAACTTACAAAATTTTGAGTGTTCGTATAATTATGAACCGCACTTTATTTTGGACATGTCATCCAAAATACACATGTCATTTACACACATGTCATCCAAAATTATTGAATGACATGCGTATGCGTGAACAAGTTAGAGCCCCTTGTCTTGAGCAGTACAGCTAGTGTATAATAAACTTTATGGAAAAGTCGGGCGCCGGTTTACAGAGCTTGCCTTGGTCGATCAAAAGGTACCCCAATGCTTATTTAAAAGTCAAGAAAAACGCGGTTTTTGAGATGAAAAGTGAAAACTGACAGAACTTTTAGGACAACTTCTTATTTGCGTAGCAGATTACTTCAAGTAGTGGTTGTGTGTCAGTAAGCTAATGCGATACACTAGTGGCACTATCGATCGAAAATTTGTCTTCTCCTCAATATTAGGGCTTGGTACTCATTAGTGTTTGTAGATTTGGATGACCTCCACAACAACATCTGAGCGCCGACGGTGAAGGCCTCCGAAGGGGACGGTGGAATCAAAACTTCACGAGGCCACTGATTGAGTCGTGTAGACCTCGGCTTACTAACATTAACCACTATACTTACACATGCGAAAGTTGAAGAAACTGGGGACTTCAGGTACTGATTCAAAACCGAGAAGCGTCATCCTTTGAAATCTCAGGAGAAATGTGTTAAAAAGAGCGAAAGGCAGCGTCGCACCACTTACGCACGCTGGTTCACATGCGAACTTTTCTGGGGCACACAGGATAAATTTAACGAGAGAATGGTCAGAAAGCGAAGTGGCCAATCCAAACAAGGTGCATGGCGTTAAATGCAGCATAAAACGCTGATCTCGAATCTGTATTCCATGTCTGCTTAGCGCCTATGTAGGCGAAGTTTTAAGCCGTTAAAGGCCGTTATTTCGATAGAAAATGTGAATGCGAAGCGTAAATTTGGCAGTACAGAGCCATGTTCGGCTCAATGCTAGGCCAAAACATGCAGTTAGGTTTTTCAAATTCTTAAAGCCTAAGGGTAAGCTGAAAGTGTAACAATGTGCTCAATTTCGCAACTTTTATGTACGGTTGTTTCGCATAAAAAGTGCTCAATAACTTCGTCTATAAAGGCGTTAAGCAGATAAGGAATACAGATTTAAAATGTTGAATGCCATATCGAATGGTAGGCAGTCTGCTTGGATTGGCAGTTTCGACTTCTGAGCATTGTTTTGTAAGTTTATAAACTGTGGCCATATTCATCAACGAACCCCGAGGGTTAAACTAACCCTGGAAAGCGTTTAACCCGTATTCATGAAACACAGGGTAGGCTTAACCCTGAGGGTTAAATCTAACCTTGAGGGTCAATTTTACCCCGAAAGCGACTAACCCGTATTCATCAACGAACCGTGAGGGTTAAACTAACCCTGGAGGGTTAAACTTACGTGATTCATCAGGGTTAATTTAACCCTAGCTCAGAGCAAGGTTAACTCTACCCTAGCACTTCATACAAACATTTACTCGCATGTAGTTTTATAGAAAACGATTAACGAGTGTTGTAGTACTTAGTATTAGTTGTTATAGTATCTAGTTTCAACTTCGTTTCGTGTTCAAATTCGAAGTACATGAAACACTGACTTCGCGAGAAAAAAATCCTAGCTTGGTGACAAATGAATGCAACGAGGAAAAATGGTTGCGCATTCCACTCTGACAAGTGCCGAAACTGAAGAACCCCTTTATGATAACACGCACTGACCCTTAAAAAAGTAGCATAAGCCCGGTATAAAACGAACTACGCAAAAGAACTTACACGGCACAATTGCACACATGAAAATAAACCCACGCTGTAAGAGTGGATGCTGCACAAATATGCTAGAGATGTATTATAAAAACTAGTGCTAGAAGCTTATTCGTTGATTATACTACTATAACAGTGAAAGAATAGAAGTATAAAGTAAATTTAGCGTACTTAGGCATTCTGTGATGTGAGTTCGCACAGCGCATGCATAACTGACGCCTTAACCCTCCAGGGTTAGTTTAACCCTCAGGGTTCATTGGCCGTATTCATCAACCATAGGGTTCGTTGATGATTACGGCCACAGGTTCGTTGATCGATACGGGTAGATCGCGTTCCGTGGTAAACCCTAGCCTATGGTTGATGAATACGGCCAATGAACCCTGAGGGTTAAACTAACCCTGGAGGGTAAGCTTAACCCTCAGGGTTCGTTGATGAATACGGCCACTGGAGTGAAAGCATTTGAAATTAGCATTTGGGAGCACAACAATGGAAAAGAAATGAGAATGACAAATAGAGATACACGATAAGAGTCAAATTTGCCATAACTAAAAGCTTTCTACTCCGCAAATGTAATTATTCTTTGCACGTGTTCTCTTAGAATCTTGATGTTGGGTCTGTATTTTTCGTATGCGGTTAATGTGGTTCGAACTATTACTTCTGCATCTAACTAACACTGAAATTATCTGAATTGCAAGCATTGGAAGCAGAGAAACTTACAATCGTTGCGAACTTCATAATTCGAGCGATCTGAAAACAATCATAATCATGCTATGTTTTTTATGTAATAGTTATTCTGTTTACTACATAAGCTTTGTCATTTTTTATCCATGAAGTCTGAATGGATGCCTTTCTTGCAGAAAGGCAGTATTTTGGGAAACCATTCGCTACCAAACCATCAATTCATTGATTTGACCACTAGCGAATGTGTGAATCGTTTAAGTCTGGGACCTACCAAATCGTCCAAGAAAATGTTTGATCTCCATGCGCATTGCTTCCTAAGTGACCAAGTTTGAGCAGATTGTAGTTGAAAGAGGCTTTTATTCGAACTCCCCCATCCCTTTTTGTCAGTGGCGTTCCCAGGATTTCCATTCGGGGGGGGGGGGGGGGGAATTTTTTTTCGGACGAAGGTGCGTGGCGTCAGCCACGCATTCCGAAAATTTGCGTTGATTGAGCGTCTCTTTGGAAAGTTATGATTTTCGAGCAAGCAATACAAAAGGGCAAATATCATTTATTTTGGCAATTTTTAGGGAAATCATAACTTTTCATAGAGACGCTCAATCAGCGCAAACTTTGCACAGTTAGAAAGAGCTGGTGAAACAACTTTTAATACCGACTGCTCCGATTTTTGTTGCAAGTCTACAATTTTTTATGACCCTATACAAAAAAATTCGAATTTTGACTGATTTTCTTCTATCGCTCCTATCTCTGCAACAGATAATCATTAGCAAGCAGCTGAGAAGTCTTTACAAAGAGCATCAATTTCTCTTTCATACAAAAATAAATGCATTCAAATCGGTTAGAAAAATCAGAAGTTATTAATTTTTGAAACGTGCGCAAGAACTTTCGGAATGACCTAATCTATAAAAATTTTCTGTTTAGCATCTTCAGACAGTGAAGAGTTCATCCCTATTTCTCATTTTTACTCGTTGTATAAGGCACTATGAAAGTCTTCGTTTCTTGATGTCTTGACTTTGTGCCATTTTTACGAAGCTTGCAAACTACTGCTAGAGATAGCTATAGATAGATGTGCAGAGAAACCGTCTACTTTCTATTTATTCCACTAACCCCACAAGCCGCTTTTTGAAGGATTTTTGAGATAGCATGACGACATAGTATATTTCTCTCATTTGAGCTCCCCATAAACGAACAATGGATAAAACTCCAAAACCAAAAATTTTTGGATGAAAATATGATTATATTCGAACATTGTATACTGAGTTTTAAATAAATATTCGAATGGCTTATTCGAGTGGTTAAACATTTGGACAAATCATTCGAGTACATATAACATTTGATTCAACTGGCTTGGCACCATTAGGGCAGGGTTTTGTGATCTAATTGAGGCCGCTCGCGCCCGTGACGCACCTGCGTCTCTCTCGCACGAGTGCTCTCTGATCATTACCTAGCCTTAATTAGGTCACGAGGTCCCGCCTTTGCCGATGCCAAGCCAGTTGAATCAAATGGTATTTGACTAATAGTTCATTCGAGTAAGAACAGCTATATCTAAAAGTTGCAGAGGCTGTGGTTCTGCACCGAACTCGAATAATCCGATATGAGTTTCGCTCGGATGAGAAGTTCGAATGAAAATTCGAATAATATTCGTTCGAAATTTTGGTTTACAATAATGTGAGTTTGCAGCTTTCATTCGAAATCTTTTTTTCTAAATAAATCGTTCTCGAATTTCATCCGAAAATGGAAAACTGCGAGATAACCAAATGTTTTATTCGAATGTCGATTTATTCGATTCGCTCTGAAGTTTACCGCAGGAAAATTCCGATTCCTCAATTTCTCTCACCTCTTCCCTACAATTTACTGTTTCTGTTCTCTCAAAGCCCCTTTTTTGGGGAACCTCAATTTGTAGAGTAGGTTGCGAATTCCTTTTCAGCTTCATTATCGCTATTTCTCTATCATCTTAGCGTGCAAAACGCTCACAAATGCGCTGAACAAAACACCTCTGTTTTGCATAAAAAGGGACTCTGAATGAAGTTTTCCTTTATTAGAGGGTCCTTATATGAAAAATTCGACTGAACTATGCTGCTCTGGTGAAGAAAGTTTTACAGAAATCGAAGCTACTTTAGAAATAAACTTTTCAGAGATATATGAAAAGAAACGATGAAGAAAAAAATTTGATACTGACATGATGCTCACCTAGGATGAGACGACGTAATAGTAGATGATGCAACAGTCTGTTTCTAAACTTCTTCCCGAATTCTTTTTTGATCTAGCCGCCCTTGTGTCGCTGATGCTTGGTCTCCATATGATCCGAGCAAGTTTTGGAGACACTAGGCAGTATTTTAGTTAAATAGACGAATTGTCTTACATCCTTACTCTTGCAAAACTCGGTATAAACTAGTCTAACTATCTCGATCGGCAAATGTTGACTTTGCAGTCTGCACTGCAGATAATGCAATGTTCTCATTGGGCAAACAACCGAAATTTCTCGGTTAGATAGCTGTTGCAGAGGTTCTAAAGATGTCTTTTACTCGTTTCGGAACGATCGCATATACATGTCTTTGATGAAATAGCTGTGGTGTATGGCTACCGTATGTCGGTATTGTGGCGGCAGAGGGCTCCAAAATTTTTTCATTTAATTTAGTACGCTCAAAGAGTAAAAAAATACAACAATGGAAAGGCTGCACAAACTATACAAAATTCACCCTTTCAGTCAGAATCTTATCAATCAACTAATGACATAGTAAAGGGAAGAGACTGCATAAGCGTTACAGTGCTATGCAGTCGCCGATGTCAAGCATGATTAGTACCTTCAAAAATGGAACTAGCTCGCTCGTTTGCCAGCAGAACGATCTATAATAAATAGTACGATTTGAAACAAACCGGAAGCAAGGCTAGCGCTGGCGCGTATAATGGCCACCCTGCACAAGCAGTTTGTACAATTAAGAGATTTCAAAAAAAGATTTCAGAAAAAAGTTGCAAATACTGCATAGCATTCGACACAGAGAAAATTTGATTACGCGACTGTCAGCTTTTTTGGATGCACGCTTGTTCATTATTTTTACGTTTATTTGATTTTTGCTTTATGAAAGCTTCGTCACTATCAGCTTCCTTTATAAGTTTATCATAGATGATCCTATCGCAACAACAACTATAAAAAACTCGATACTATAATGTGAGTTAGGTGGTGTTATGTAGTGTTATGTAGTACTAGCTGGCTTACCCGGCTCCGCCGTATGTTCCGAATAGAAAATTCCATTTCTTAACCGATCCGGACCAAACTTGGAACACATACACTTCGGGCCCCGGCGGGTGTCACAGTCCACTTTTCGTTATCGATCGATGTCGATTTTATCGATTTTTTGCAGAATGAGTTTAAGGGGCTGGAACTTGGCAGAGAGGTGTAATCGAGCATGCTGATCACCCCCACGGGGGTGATCAGCATGCTCGATTACCCCCCTGTGCCAACTCCCAGCCCCGTAGCTCAAATTTTGCAAAAAATCGATAAAATCGATATCGATCGATAACGAAAAGTGGACTGTGACACCCGCCGGGGCCCGAAGTGTATGTGTGCCAAGTTTGGTCCGGATCGGTTCAGAAATGGAATTTTCTATTCGGAACATACGTACAGACCAGTGGCGTACCGAGGGGGGGGCGGGGGGGGGGCGCGCGCCCCCCCCCCCCCCCCCCGAGAACGGGTCGCGAAATTTTTGAAAGTTACTTACATGCGTTATAAAAATGTGCAAATGACTTGTTTATTTTTGTAAACAATTAAAATAATTTTTAAAATTTTTTAAAAATTCAAATTAGCCTTATAAAAAATTTTTTTTCGGGGGCGTGGCTGACGCCACGCCCCCTTTTTCCAGATTTTAGGGGTTGAGGGCCCGCAAAATTGTTGAGAAGCTCCCCTAAAATTTTTTCGGAGTGCGTGGCTGACGCCACGCACCTTCATTTGAAAATTTTTTTTGCCGCGCCCCCCCCCCCCCCGAGCCGAAATCCTGGGTACGCCACTGGTACAGACATACATACATACAGACAGACAGACAAACAGACATTCAGCTTTACACAGGGTGTCCCAAAAAAATGTATCGAACGTTTGATCGTTAATATCTCTCTTCTGAAGAAGTCTTTTTCCTCGCTTCAGATACCAATCTGTAGAGCTGGCTTCAACTTAGATTTGCATTATAGAACGATTCACTCATCTCTCTTCATTACTGTAGGATTACGGTAGAAACTTCAAAGAGGGTTCTAAGCAATGAATGGCCATATTTTGCCTCAGAAAGAAAACAAAACAGCCTGAAAGCTTTTACACTAGGCTAATTAGAGTTGCTGATTATAGCTGTAAAGTTCCCAACTTATTATAATGCTTCAGTGAAGAGTTTTGCCAGGTAAGAGGTAGCGGCCATTTTTTCAGTGTTCCTAAAAAGTGCGGTTACACCATTTAGAAGGCTTCGTAATCTCGTGAACAGTTGAGTATTAAACTCAGCGTCCATAAAAACCCTATTACACAAGTTTTCACATTTTTTTGAAAAATTTTAAAACGGCAGCTTTTTCCACGTTGACACCATATGTTTCAAGTTTCTACCGTAATGCTACAGTAATGAAGAGGGATGGGTGATTCGTCCTATAGTGCAAATCTAAGTTGAAGCCAGCTCTACAAAACAGTACTCAAAGCAAGGCAAAAGACTTCTTCAGAAGAGAGATATCAACGATCAAACGTTCGATACATTTTTTGGGACACCCTGTATATAAGATTAGGTTGATGCATAATTCCTGCATCAAAATAGGTACAGACCGCAATAACTCGGGATAATCCTATATCCCAAGTAGGATTTGATATATCATTAGATAGAGCAAACCTAGCTCTACAAAATAGTGCTCAAATATCTACACCAGCTTTGATCCACGCGAAGTTTTGAGCCGAAAACAGAAAAAAAACCATGCGTCTGAAAACCTTAAGACCAATCAAAACAAAATTATAACTTCGTTCAAAAAGCTCCTACAAAATTTCTTGCTTGCTCACGCGTAGTCATTCCACGTAAGACATCTATCTATGAGGTTGCTGTATTTTTCTCAGCTAAACGATGAGAAAACGGAGTTTTTCATGTTTTTGCCAAACTAGTGCTGAGATGTTCTAACACTAACAGTTGTATAGTACATGCCATTAACAAAACTTTACATTTTCAGCCTTCTAGAGCAGCTATTTCACGAGAAATGACAGATCTAGCTCTCTTCATCCGAATTTTTCTTGCCTAGTTGCAAAAAATATATTATCTTATATATAAAGCTGAATGTCTGTTTGTATGTATGTCTGTATGTCTGTCTGTCTGTCTGTCTGTCTGTATGTGTGTACGTATGTTCCGAATAGAAAATTTCATTTCTGAACCGATCCGGAACAAACTTGGCACACATACGCTACGGGCCCCGGCGGGTGTCATAGGCTACTTTTCGTCATCGATCGATATCGATTTTATCGATTTTTATCGATTTTTTTGCTGAGTTCACCTACGGGGCTGGGAGTTGGCACAGGGGGGTAATCGAGCATGGGGATTCCGAATACAATATTGGTTTTCAGGATTATCGATTACTTTTATCGATTTTATCGATTTTTTTGCAAAGTTTGAGCTACGGGGCTGGGAGTTGGCACAGGGGGGTAATCGAGCATGGGGATTCCGAATACAATATTGGTTTTCAGGATTATCGATTACTTTTATCGATTTTATCGATTTTTTTGCAAAGTTTGAGCTACGGGGCTGGGAGTTGGCACAGGGGGGTAATCGAGCATGCTGATCATCCCCAAGGGGGTGATCAGCATGCTCGATTACACCCCTGTGCCAAATTCCATCCCCCTAGCTCAAATTTTGCAAAATCGATAAAATCGATAGAAGTAATGGATAATTCCAAAAACTAATATTGTATTCGTAATCTGCATGCTCGATTACCCCCCTGTGCAAACTCCCAGCCCCGCAGGTCAAACTTTACAAAAAAATTGATAAAATCGATAAAAGTAATGGACGATCCTGAAAACTAATATTGTGTTCGTAATCAGCATGCTCGATTACTCCCTGTGCAAAATCCCAGCCTCGCATGTCAAAATTTACAAAAAATCGATAAAATCAATAAAAGTAACCGATAATTCTGAAAACTAATATTGTATTCGGAATCCCCATGCTCACTTCCCCCCTGTGCCAACTCCTAGCCCTGTAGGTGAACTCTGCGAAAAAATCGATAAAAATCGGTAAAATCGACATCGATCGATAACGAAAAGTGGACTGTGACACGCGCCGGGGCCCGAAGTGTATGTGTGCCAAGTTTGGTCCGGATACGGCGGAGCCGGGTAAGCCAGCTATATTCGATATTTCTCGTAAACCAGTTGCTGTAAAAAGCTGAAAATTCACATTCACGCTTCTAAGGTCCTATAGTATACAATTGTCAGCGCTAGAACATCTCAGCATTGTTTTGGAAAAAACATGAAAAACTTCGTTTTCTCAATTTCTAGCTGAGAGAAAAATACAGCAACTGCATAGAAGAATGTCTTATACGAAATAACAATGCATGAGCAGGCTGGTAATTTTAAAGAATTTTTCCGAACTGTCTTCCAATTTTTTCTTGGTTTTTTGGGGCGCTTGGATCTTTTTCGTTTTTGGCTTCAATCTTCACTTGGATCAAAGCTGCTGCAAAACTTTAGTCACTATTTTGTAGAGCTAGGTTTGCTCTATCTAATGATATATCGAATCCTACTTGGGATATAGGATTATTCCGAGTTATCGCGGTCTGTACCTATTTTGGTGCAGGAATTATGCATCAACCTAATACCAATGTGCGATGTCTCTAATTAACTCCGAAAATCGACTTGTGATAATTATTTCGTGGTACACTTTCAAAAGAAGACATCCTTGCGGATATCAGATTTATCATGAGTACATCCATGTCATAGGTAACATGCCACGTGAAGAAAATTTTGTGAACCTCAAGTTTTGATCTCGAAATAATCATTTCCTCAAACACGTCGTTGTACTAACATCCCAGTAGGCAAAAAAGTAATGAAATGTAACCTGCACCAATGATCTCAGTCTAATGACCCGCAAACCTGCATTCTCGTCCATGCCTAAGTCACGTCACTCATTTTATCTGCCGAAACGTAGGTGGATTCAGGCGCAAAAAAAGAAAGCCAAACGGCTCGATTGTCTCCTCTTTCCTCTTGCAAGACATGATAAATGTATAGATTACTCCTATACTTTGTAACAGCAAAGAAGAAAATGCAAAAGGAATCATAGAGGAATGAAAAACATTATCAAAGAGGTTAAATTCGTGCGATGAATGAGTAGCAAATTTTGATGTCATCTGAGTGCTGAGCAATTTGTATGTTCCAGTTTACCATAGAATTACAAACGTGCAACAATTCAAAAGTTCTTTTCTATGTATATCCACTGAATGACACTAACAAATTGTGATTTGTATCCCTATCTGTTGATATCTTTGACTGTGTGGATCATTGCTCTGATTTTCCTACTCCGAAACATATGATAACACTCAAGAAAAAAATATGGAGCAATTGCGCAAATTGAATCTTCGGAATTTTTACTTTTTTACACGTATCCGATAGCACAGATGCAATTGCATAACTCATGTAAAGGAGAAAATGGAGAATTTCGGCTCGCATGCAATTCTTCCAAATACATATGATTTTTGGAGATGTGTATGCCAAAGCCAAGAACTTATATGCAGACGAAATGCATAAGTTTTCAAAAAGCTTCTGTCTTAAGCCTTCAGCTTTTTTGGCTTTGCACATTGCTGAGAGCAATATTTATTTCTACAAAACTGATGAGAAGTTTTAAGCACAAAATTGAAGAGCAATTATGATAGTCACTACGGGCTATGTGAGGCTTTCTTACGTAATGGTTGACGACAGTCCATTTGAGGTGAATATATTTATATTACCGTCTGAACATGTTTCCTTTTCCGCAGTGTTGGGTATCTCACCAAATTTGTTCTTCTTCCATATTCGCATCGCTTTATAACAGCTTTGCGCTTCTTTCTCAGCAGCTCCTATGATCTGAGCTAAAGTTCATTAATTTTGCCAAAGACTAGATACGAACGTATTCTGGAAAATCCATTTCGTACTGTCCTTCTTGCTCATTGGCATAAGAGTCCTCCATCTCATAGTCTGGATCTAATCCGTAGCGTAATTCATCAACATTTATATAAAAGTCATCCTGCGTCATCTAAAGAAAACTTGTCAGCTTATCGTCATTTATGTGAGCTTATATTCAAAATCTCAAAATCACAGCAGGTATAAGATGTTTGAGCGAAAGGTGCGGCTTCACAAAATTTTAGCATGTTTAGATCTTTGCGCTCCATTGCAACAAAATTCGTTCAAATTTAGCTCAGCTCACTTCAATTAGGTCGTACCAGTTCCAATACTCCTCTTCTTCATATAATTCTTCCTCATCGCCGTAAGAATCTGAGTATTCTTCCTCATATCCTCCGTCCCAGTCGTAGAAATCGTCTGCCCTCACCTGATCGAAAAAGTTATACGCCAACTCTTCGATATCGAACTGTAACTGTTTCCGAGTTTTTCAGATAAAAGAAAACCGGATATTGGCAAGACTAAACATATATCGTCAAATTACGAACGGTAGGAACTTCGCTGTAGATCATTGGGATTGTAGTTTTGAGATACTTTCCTCGAATCACAACAACCCTCGAACTCACTTCATTTTCTGTTTCATGGAGTCCTTCGTCACCTTCTTCGAAGAAGACATAACTCCACCCCTATAAGTAAGATGGTAAAATCATCGTCATTACACTGAACGAGGTATTGCAAAAGGTATATATAACTGCATAAATTGGGTAGCGTGATCGGAATTTTCAAGAATTGCGCAGTAAAGTCCCGACTTCTTTTATAACCCGCAATTTGGTACTTTGACAAAACCTTGGCATTTACCATTCCAACTGAACGAAAAAGATAGACAAGATATGTTTCGAACTAAATGATATCTATTGCTATCACAGTCAGTTTGACTCTTATTCTGGAAGAATATCCAGAAACATCATACTGTGATTTTGCGCTATAGTGAAGTACTAGATTATAAGCGGAAGGAAAATATGTACTTCTTCGGGCAACTTCTTCAAATCTTCAGGTGAATACTGTGAGTATTGTCCCGCTTCTATCGCGCTGATCTGCTGCTTCTGAACAGAATCAATTTGTTCCACTCTTCAAGACTACGTAAGTCATCAACCAGTATAATTAAAGCATCCACATCAGGTCGAAAAATCGCGCCCCCTCCTGGGTTACACAAAATTGTCCCTATCCAGACACTGAGTTGGTACACTGCCTATAATAGCTTAAGGAATGGATGAGGTAAAATCCTTCCAGAACTCAATTTATTTTCAAAAGCCAATTAACAAACCTGTTGCAACGCAGATGAAAGCCTCTGCTCTCGTTGTTCTAACTTCATGTGTGCAAGATTGTGCTCCTTCATCTGAATATATGCATATTACCATATCAATACTAGTTACATAAACTAAACCTTGTTGGTCAGCTCTTGTTGCTGTTTTAGGAGGAGCCTGTTCAACTGCGAAATAAAAGTCACCAATTCCTTTAGACCACATTTTTGTTGCAGAGTCTGCAAATCTACGATGTCGAGCATGTGCACGACATGATTAACTAGGCAATAACCTCTGCTAAAGCAGACGAAAGCTCCTTTTCGTGCTGCTGCGATTTTTCCAGAAAATAGTACACCTTTTTCATCTGAAGAAAAAGTCTCATAGGGTAAGCACATACGCTTAATACCTTTTTTGATGAGTCTTGTAGCTGACGTTGGAGGATTTTGTTCCTTTGCAGAAGTGAAGCCATTTCTTTTTCCCGGTTCTTTGTTTGTTCTGCAGCCTAAAAACGAAACTATAACAATAACAAGCACAGCATGGCGAACGATGTTGATGTTCGAAATGCGCAGTCTTCTTGAGAGCCACAAACTATGTAAATGAGAAATATTATATTGATTTACCCTATTCAATTTCGATGTAGTCTCTTGCTCTCGTTGTTGCAGTTTCCCTAGCGCAAGATTAAGCGTTTCCATCTAAACGATTCTTTATCAACAGATATGCGAACTGCATACAGGAGATTTCAATCTGAGTGTTACGGTCCTCGCTGCGGCCCTCAGCAATAGCCCTCAGCAAGGCAGCCCTTTCCTATACCTGGGTCGTGGACAAGCGAGGCTCACAAGGGCGCATACCGCGCCGAATATGACACTCAAATTGAAAATCTCTGTACCTTCTTATTAGAATCTTGCAGTTGACGGAAGAGTTTATTTCTCCTCTTGGACAATAATTCCAACTTTTTCATCTGCATGCTTGATAGTCTCGTACCCTGAAACTACAATCCTGCAGAAGCTCGAATAAGCTCATATGCTGGGTAGGTTAGTGATCCCTGCATGGTTCTCGATTGTTTCGCATCTGCAACTATCAAAGAAAGGCTTAGAAATGGATAGGAACCTTCTTTACAGCAGATGAGAGCTTCTTCTCTCGTTGTTGCGATTCTCTCAATGCTGATTCTAGCTCGCTCATCTGAACATTCTGTAATGATCGTACAAAAAACGCACGTATAATTCATTTATAAAATCGTGACGACGAATTTTACTGCTGCCTTTGCGGTCGAAGAAGCATAAAACGCTCATACAAGAAGGCATCACCTCAGCGTTCAGTTCAGTCACTTCCAGTATCTAAACATTGTCATACGTAAGCAAAAAAACCATTCGAGCAGAAATAAAAATTGAGAAAATGCGATTTCCGGAGGTGGCGTGCGTATCGCGCGCGATCGCGCCATCGTCACGATTTTTCAAATGCCCTATACACACCTTTCCGGTAGATTCTTGTAGCTGGTGCTGTAAGGTCTTGTTCAAGTTTAGAATAGATTTGTTCTCTTTTTCCCGAATGTTTGTTTGTTCCACAATCTGAAAATGCCGCGCTGGTGAAAAATAACAATAATATGTGCTGCGAGATGGTCAAACAAAAACTCGAGATGATTTTTTGTGTGATTTGCCTACTTTGGTGTTGAAGGTGCTGTAAGCGGTCACAAATTGAGTATGGTAGGCGAATAAAGTCCCTCGTTGACGGGATTCTTTCGACACAGACTCTAGCTTGCTCACCTTTTCAAAATCAGAGGTAGATTTTTTCTCTCGGTGTCGCGATTTTTCCAACTCACGTTCCAGACCAGCGATCTGAGAGAAAAAAGGTTTGTTGCAAATCCCAACAAAGATTTGCACCTTCTTGGTTGATTCGTATTGTAGAACTTGAAGTCTCTCATTTTCATCAAATACTTGCTGCACCTTTGCCTTCCATGCATCACTTCGCTGTTCAGCCTATAACCACAGACAATGCTTTTGAAGCTATAGAACACTTCAAATATATTAGATCGTTCCAAAAGCAACTTTGCATTTTTGACCGAGCACGATTTTCGTCAGAATGAAGGTTTTAGATAACCTATTTTGTTTTTCGATGCGGCATTTTATTTTTATTTAAGAAAATTAAGCTAGCAATTTGGAACCATTGGAACTATTCAAAAAGCTGGATGTTTACTGAGTAGCGCTGCCATCCTACCCAAATACTGTAACAAATTTTTCATTCACACCTCAAGCAAAAGGCAAGTAGTCATCACAAAGAGCGAATCTAATAGTAAACACCGCTTTCTTTGGGTTTCTGCTGCAGAAATTTTGAAACAAAACGTTTTTCTCAAAAATCCTTAATTCTTTCAAACACCAAACAGTCCGTGGTTGCATCCGACATCTCAAAACCGCATCTGAAAGTGAATGTAGCCCGAATTTATGCATATTGGAGTTTGACAATATTCATGTGCTAGACTCCTCTAAACCAGAATGACCAACTAAAGCGCAGCGATCTATTTTTTACTCAGTATTGCGAAAGGTCAATACCTTGAAAAAAAGGAACGATTTTAGAGAATTGCTGAGAGCTGATCGAAAAACTTATACCGAATTTCAACCAATTGCTTTTTTCTATCAGCTGTTGCTTGGACGTCTTTGCAAAGTTTGGAAAATTGCGAAGTTTGAGTGTGGCAAAAAACCTTGGTTTGCAGATTTTGGTGTTCTCCAAAAAGTCGTTGGGTAGGCTGCAACGGAAACATAACCACTTGAAAAAAGATAAGAAAGCTGCATGCTAACGGAATCTCTCAAGTTTCTACTTCTGCAAGATGTGGCGCTTCTTCGAAAAAACAAAATTACTTTCAGTACGATCCAACAGAGTCGAACTTAGATGTGCTTACACAGTCATGAAAACCCTTTGAACTCGATGTGAGACTCTCGAGAATGGAAATCGTCTCAGATTTAGAACTCACCTCCTGCAGTTTCTGTAAAACTCTTCGCTCTCTTTGCTCTGTTTCTTTCACAAAAAGATCAAAGTCCGCCATCTGAACAATTTTTTGTGCACTACAGAAAATGCTAATTCACCTTATTTTTTTTCATTTTACCCTTTTATTCAAGTCTTCCATTTCATGATGGAGATCTTCGTTTTCCTCTATAAGCAAGTCTGAGACATTCTTCCACATTTTGTTCTGCTCCAGAGCCTGAGAATCGAAGCATAATAGAGATGAAACAACCACATCAGGCAATTTACAATATGCGTGGGTATCACAGGGCGGAGAAAACTTTGTTCACCTTTTCAAGATTTAGAGCCATGTCCTTCTCATGGCGCTTGGAGTCATCAAGTAGCCGTTCAAATTTTTGTGACTGAAAAGTAATTTTTTGTGATCCAAAATACGAAATAATCTCATCTAGAAGACCTCTTCAGCTGCCTTCATTGACTCTTCCCTCATCAAGTGATTGTCCTTTTCAAGCGCGTGCATTCTATGCTCCCACATCTGCACCATCTGCAAGGACCAAAAGCTTGTGTTGAAACTTTCTCAGTGAAAGAACTCGAAATTCGAATTTTGTGGTAAATTTTTGTGCGTAAAGTTTGATTTGGAACAAAGCCTTTGCAATGGTTGTCAATTTGCAAAACTATACGAGGACCCCTTACTTCGCAGAATTTCCAAGTCCAACGTGAAGATTTTTCTAACCTGGTCAATTGTTGCAGCCAAGATTTGTAGAGCTTTAGCTTCATCTTGTACTATTTCTGCTTCATCCTTCCACTTCAACAAACGTTTTTCCGTCTGCAACTTCTTTCGTAAGCCACATGTACTTAAGGCACTCACAATATCACTGTTATTCATTCACGGAGAACAAATATTTTCATAGTAATTCATTCACGGAGATCAACAAGCTATACTAACAAGTGAATATAAATTTGTATAGGTTGCACGGCAGTTTTTGACTCCATATTTGGAAGCAATGCTTCGTAATCAGACCAAACCTGTTCAGCTGATGCAGCCAAAATCCGGAAATCTTCGTTTTCTCGTTGCAGTTCTTCACTTTTGATCTTCCATTTTGCCAATCCCTTCATCACCTGAAATTCCAAGGTTAACATAGAACTGGACTAGTTATGTTTGGAATTTTGAAAGTAGTATTAAATTTGCTGAGTGCTGGTTAGTTTATTTATATCTGAGTGCAAAATGGTCGTCAGACAATGATAAACTGTTTGTGTGCACTGACAGCCTTGGGATACTATTTGGGCATATCAGCTGCTCTCCCAAATCCAGCCCTTGTTGCGATACGGCTGCAGTCCTGGAATTTTTGGTGACTGGATTTGAAGTAGTCATTCTTCAAAGGAGGCCCCAGGAGTAGGTGTCGGATGACGTTATATCTAACAAGTAAGAGGGTTGTGGCACAATGTCTCCACCAGTCTTCTGCAAGTTCTGCTGGTTTACCATCACCAGATGTGTCTTGCCTAGGTTTTCATGGTCTGGTTTAAGAATTTTTAAACTGTTCAGATAGGTGCCGCGCATTAAAAACACAGCATTTGCCAGCGCATTCGCATTTATGCGCCATGGTAAACTGCCTCCAAAAAAACTTCAGAAAATAAGTTATGTGGCAAAGGTTTGCAGGCACGCTATTCTCACTGATTGACTTTTCACATGTCTGTGAAGTATTTGAATCAAATTCACAGTCACAGGGTTTAGAAACGGTATGCTTGGCATAACTAGAAAACTTTTTATGAAGTGCAGATCTCATATTCGAACTCAGCGACTCTGATTAGCCTAGTGTGAGTATTTTTAGATTGTGCTCCCTTTTTCAGGAGAAATAAGGCCTCGATTGCCGAAAACGCTCTCCAAAATTTTCATCGTAATCAATGTTGGAGCAATCTGTGATGCGCTCCGTACCATTCAATTTGAACTGAAGCTAGCTCTATAGAATGGCATCTGAAGGTTGACAAAAGTGTTTTTGGAAGAAGAGATATCAGCCATCGAGCAGTGTCTACAAACTTTTCGTCTCACACATACTCTACATACACCCTCATCCGTTCAGAAGTTGCGATAGGTGGGATCACAAGTGTCCATTATCAACTCTCTAGATGGGCTTAGAATTTGTGACGCAATCACACTATTTTATACTCGAAATGACTAGGTGTGCGAACCTAAGAATTTTATCTACCCCCGAAATTAAAGCCGACGCACAACCGCCCATATCGCTGGGCTGAGCGCACGCGAACGTGCTTCCAACGCGACGGCCGAGTAGTGGCGCTATGATGACTCATGCGCGCGAATGCCAATTTTGGCCGCAAAGACACGCTCGCGAGCGATGAGCCTATGGCGATTCGGGCAAATTCGTGCAGTCGACTTTACCTAGGGTCAAGCCAGACTGCGCGGCGTACGCGGGGTACGCGACGTACGCCGCGCAGTCTGGCTACGTACGCTCCACAACTTATGCACGTGTGCGTATGCTGCGTACGTCGCATACACCGCGCAGTCTAGCCTAACCCTAAAGTGACTGAAACGTGCATATTCTTGTTAGTCTTTGTGCTGAGGTAAGCGTTATTCTGTGACCTCAAATGTCAGCCTTTGCATAGGCGCATTATCTTTGGGCGCGAATGCGGTTTCTTTGGCCTTGGTTTCTTTGGAGAACGCATGAGGCGCAGGAACAACAGTGAAGAAACGCGCGCGCAGCGTTCGCGCCCGCACAACTAATAGCGCTTCTGCGCCTTCGTAATGCAGCAGCCTTTACAGTCGCATCATTTTGTATGATAATGTGTGTCTATTGTCCTGAAACACTCCTTGAAAGGGGTTTGTCTCATAATTCCGCGCTGAGGATGCCATAGGTGTAGAGTGTACGCAGTGAACACATGACTGTATGAAGTGACTCGACTGTACCCGCTGTAAAGCAACCGAACCAGTGCTCACGTGTGCTATTACTGCCTTTTTTCGTCTCATTTTCTTTTTGATAGAGAGGTGAAAGCAGCTACGTTTCTGATTTTCGACAAAAGGATACTCACCATGTCATAAGTAGATCTGTAAACATCTTCCTCAGCTTCACAACAGTCCACAACTTTCACTTGATCTCCCATACACTCCTTTTCGTCTTCGTTCTCCGCAGGCCACTGGGAAAGACTGAGTTGATTTTTTGGCAGTTTCTCTGCACAAGCTTGAGGATCAGTGGCGGGACTGATTTTGCTATTCGAGACCGTCAAAATCACTAAAATGGTGGACTAGAAACTATTCGCATAGAACCATTGCGGAACTCACATTCGACTTCTTTGGTGTAGGCGGTCCTTTCTTCATCATGAGCCTCATCGCTTGCTCTTCGACTGGAGGCTAGCTTTTTAGATCTTTCTGTGGAAGTCTAGAAATGCGGCTACTTCATGGTGTATTCCATTCTATCTACTATCTCGACCTTGAAATTAGACGGTTCATTCGTTGAAAGCTGCGTCTTCGCATCTGTATGTTTGTGGAAAGCGGTCTGACCTGCTCCATCTTTTGATATTTCCCCCTCCATTTCATGAATGGCCAATCCCTAAAAATTGAATTCATATGCGCAGGAAATTAGCAGATTACCATGCAAAGATAAGAAACTTGGAACAGGAAAAAGTTCAGCAGTGTTTACAGAAGTCCTTACGTAATCTGACTGCGCCGGCGGTATGGACGAAATGCTTCGTTGCCGGACCCATATGTTTCTGCGACATGATGCGCCCTCACATCAGACTATTCGAGTGCCTAACAAAAATGGCCTTTGTAATTATCTAATGAGTATGCACACTATCAATATATTGTAAAGTTCGTCCTATATGAAATGCTGTGTACAGTTTGAAAGTATTTAAACAAACAACTGGATGGGTTAAGCAGGCCTCACTATTTAGCTCGAAGCTAATCTCCCCTGAAGTCACACGATCTTCGAACGAGGTATCGTATTCAATTCAATCCGAATTCCCGCGTCCGCTGTAACTTCAAAAACAGGATCATTTGTCAATGGATATTAAAATCGTGATGAGCATGTCAATTACACCAGCGCAAAGCTTACGATTTGGTTTGCATAAGGATAGTAATATGTGGTCTTTCATATATCTGACGTCGAATAGTGTTGCTGCTGCTATAATCATTGTTTTTGATGAATGCATGCAAGTAAGCTTCCCCTATCATTGCCAAAAGAATGTTCTATTAGGTTGTCCCAAAAGTGAACTCCTCATTTCAATAATCAAGCTGTTTCGCTTTCCTAGCAGTCGTAGGCCATTCGATAGAGAAGCAAGCTCTACGGAACGGCTTCAAATATCCACTAAGTCATAACTGAGGTAAATTTTGAAGCCAATCAAAATCTTTCAACTGCCCTAAAGATCGGATGGCTTTCCAGAAAATTCTACGGACCTCCGCTATTCCATTAGACACATACAGTGCTGGACATAATTATACAGCCACTCTAGAAATCGTCGTAATTTTTGTTCTTGTCAATGAATCTGTCTGAAACTTTGCTGTATTGTGCGCATGTCAACCTACCATAACCCCTCAAAACGGCTTCCAGTCTTGTCGAGTTTGAACGGAGAAAAACGAAAAAAATCGAAAAAGCCCTCTTTGAAAGCTGGACAAAATTATACAGCCACCTGGTTTTTCTAATCACTATCGCATTCGTTGACTCTCAAATTTTTTTGTACAATTACATCCCAAAATATGAAACATTTGCGACACTTACGGCCTGTCTTCCTACTCAAATAGAAGCAATTGCTGCATTTCTTGTTTTTAAAAGCATTAAAAGTCAATCTCCTTCAACAAACAACTGCTTTAAAGAGTTTTCAAGCTCTTGTTCATTCCAAATGATAATCATGGAATCTACTGACCCTTCTGGATAGATGAGGTGAAGAGCGCTTTCGTAAACTCTGCGTAATCGCTGATTTTGACGAACAGACTCCAACCTCAACATAGGCTTGGAACGCTTTTAAACCACAAAACTCAGTTTGCAATGTCCAAAAAGTGCTGAACTTGATTTATCACATTGTCTACATGGGGATACAGCTTTCGCAACAACTTTCAGATTTTTCCTAATGATGCGGTAGCGATTTAGACCTGGAATACTTTCCACAAAAATTCCCTGCGAGCGGAAGATTCGATATAACCCTAGATCTCCTTATTTCCGTCTCTGTGTTTCATGTCATATTTCACCCGATGAATGAGATTAGCTAAGATTTTGAAGTTTTAAGCGTCTCCAGTTTTATCTCGTAATCTGAGTTGGCTTTGATTGTACAGGGTGCTCCACTCAACATTCAGTGAATGTCAACTGCGGCTGAATCAGAGTGCTCAGTCCCGAAATTTCTTCCCAGTCATCCACACGAGTTCACTGTTGTATGACTGTCGTAATAGCTACATTACAGTATTTTCTGTCGCTTGAAAATCGAGTTTCGTGGTGCAAAAGTGCGTCAACCCTATGGTGAGGTTGGAGTCTGTTCGTCAAAATCAGCGATTACGCAGAGTTTACGAAAGCGCTCTTCACCTCATCTATCCAGAAGGGTCAGTAGATTCCATGATTATCATTTGGAATGAACAAGAGCTTGAAAACTCTTTAAAGCAGTTGTTTGTTGAAGGAGATTGACTTTTAATGCTTTTAAAAACAAGAAATGCAGCAATTGCTTCTATTTGAGTAGGAAGACAGGCCGTAAGTGTCGCAAATGTTTCATATTTTGGGATGTAATTGTACAAAAAAATTTGAGAGTCAACGAATGCGATAGTGATTAGAAAAACCAGGTGGCTGTATAATTTTGTCCAGCTTTCAAAGAGGGCTTTTTCGATTTTTTTCGTTTTTCTCCGTTCAAACTCAACAAGACTGGAAGCCGTTTTGAGGGGTTATGGTAGGTTGACATGCGCACAATACAGCAAAGTTTCAGACAGATTCATTGACAAGAACAAAAATTACGACGATTTCTAGAGTGGCTGTATAATTATGTCCAGCACTGTAGCAGTAGCCAAAAATGTATGGATTTTTTCCGAAGCTATAAATTGAGAGGGCAGGTTTGCTTTTGGCCTATCTTTTTTTTCTCGCTTTCTGCGCGCAGAAAAAATACTTCTCCGTTATCCGGATCCGTTTTTTCAAAGAAGGATATTGCCTCTTTCCTTGTACCAGGTTTGGTCCCAGCTTCACAGGAAGGGGTGTCAACTTTCTGCTACTGTCAGAAAAATTTGTTAGATCTACATGTTTAGCAGGTTTCATAAGTCTGTGTTGCCCTAGTGACATAAATCTGATTGTTTCTTAACCAATAACGGCACTATTATCGACTAAACAATCTCGAAATTGAACATTATCATAATAATTTATCCTGTTATCAATGAACACGTTGGACTTGCCCGGAATAGAACTTTCAAAATATAGAGAGATGCCACTGTGATCCCCATACCGTATACATACCGTAACCCAGAAATCTCGAACGATGCCGTATACCGTAGTTCCTTGGCTTATGTCGATTCCCTGCTCGATTTCACCGTCAGAAAATTGTTTGAAGTGGTACTTACGCGCAAATGAATATGAATTTTTCTCGCTAGCATCGACTTTCTTCTTTGCAGTACCCTGCTGGAGGTATGTCATCACATTGCTTTCTGCCCTACCATTTTTTCACAACAGACTATCATCCTATCCGTATCTGCCTTTCTTTACTCTACTTCACGTTGAATTGAAAGTAAAAGTAAATTATTTCCATTCTGGCTGCGCTCCAATCTATATTGCATCATTTGGTAAAAGTTTATTGAACAGTGTGCTCTTATGATGTGACTTTTGGATTGACACCTTGACAAACATAGTTTTCATTCAATGAACCCTTGATCCATTTGCAGCCCTCGCTGCCGCACACTTGAAGGCAAGACGTATTCACACGCGTTTAAAGGTAGCGTCCAGGCAAATCTGGACATCGGGGTTCTAATGTGGAAAGTAATTTTGGGGCTCTAACTAAGACACTGCCCAAACGGCAGCTCAAACGGTGATCTGATAAAAGAGATATGCGCCTTCAAACTGGACCCTGGGATGTATTCGCATGGATTCATGGCGCGACATGCATGGGACCTCGCACGAAACTGATGTGTCGCGCCATGAATCCGTGCGAATACGATCCCGGGGTCCAGTTTGGAGGCGAATATCTCAACTGTGAGCTCACCATTTGTGCTGAAGCCCAGGCAGTGTTTTTGTTTGGGGCCCCAAGATTATCCTCCAAGTGAGATCCTCATAGGCCCAGATTTGCCTGGACGTTGCCTCTAATATCAATCGTGTGAACGGTAGAAAAAAGTGCGAGTGACCATCACAGATTCCTAAAACTTTTGTCAGGGTGCGAGGGGAGGGGAGCGGGGGGGGGGGGGAAGGAAGTTCTTTTCGGATGAACGGGGTCTCATTAGCCACGCTTTTTGAAAGACTTTGGTATTCTAGAACCAAGTCATGCACAATTTCATATGAGAAGATGCGTTCAAAAATCAGACTCTTATTCGATGATGGCAATGGTTTAGCAGGTTTTCAGAAGTCCGATTTTTTCTCTCGGTGCGTAATCTTAGGCTGGGGCTAATTTGTGCTGGAGAGCTACCGCAGGAGCTTAAAAGGTCGCTATGGGTTTGAACAGTGTGAATGGGTTTGAGAAAGCGTTTGTTCTAGAAGACGATTGTAGTCTCCATCCATTCTGACTTCATATGTAACAATAGCCTCGTAGCAGGCTGCTCCCTTTCTCCCATTCTAGACTTGTTGCACCCACATGTAAGCTGAAAAGAGACTTGTTTTTTGAGTATTAGAGGCTGAGCAAATTTCTCGAAGCTAACTAGTGATTTGAGATTGTTATGATACTCAATTGTTTTTAGAGTGTGGGGATCACTTATGTCATATCAGATCCATATACATACAAGTCTTTCAGTTTTGTCGCTATGAACACTGGTCGTTTTTCCAAGCAGTTGCGCAGAAGAAAAATTAAGATGGCGAGTATTTCCAGATCCTCAATAAATAGTTCAAGCACATCAGCTTACAGCTATTATCACGCGTTGATTGGTTGTCTATACTAGGTATCAAAAAGGCAGGGTGCAATTTCGCGCAACGTGTTCGAAACAGGTTGGGAGCCATTTTTTTCTCATTGCCATTCTCTCTCCGTGAGTGGTGTGGCTAAGAATCCTGTTCGTACATAGCTTTATATATAAGATTGTTACAGTATTCCATTGAATAAAACAAAACAAATCTGACAGTGGAAAGTGGGAGCCTACGGCTGTAGCTCCGCGCATTATAGCTTCTGAAAACATGTTATAAATGCACCTTCCTAACGAACTAGCGTTTATTAGCGACTGAAAAAAGACTGGAGTTCATCCCTATCATTTGTGCCCGATAGCATAAGCAATGCTGTTAAAACAGTAGTTTGGAAGCACAATTAGGAACTGATGTCATCTTTCAAAGTATCGCCATTTAGAAAGCCACCAGCTCCAAATAGATCCTATGCTGCACACGCAACCTCATAACGTGTAGAAAATAAAAATTAGGGAACTGCTTGGGCTGGGATGTGGTGCGGAGGACGACAGTGCTCTTTCGCAAGCGCGCGAATTTCAAACGCAACACCCAAACAAACAAATGGCTTGTTTACAACGCGAAACAATCACATGGGCTCCGAATTTGGGCTATGTGTATACAATATTACTCCAAACTATGTTATGTAAAAAGTTCCAAAAACTTATGTGTCCTTATACCCGTTTCCGATTTTGTTGGTTTCTACCAACACCAAACCTGGGTTGTTTGGAGCATAAATATCGGAGAGTTCACATAAGTTTCCGACCTTTTTGATTTGGACGATTACAACGTTCAAAAATCTATCATATGGTGAAGAGAGCGAATCAAACCATTGCCTCCCCTTTTTTTCGAGCCAAAAGTAGTGTAATCCTACGCTTTGATAGATATCGCGCTCCAATCACATGCGGTGTCCTCTGAACAATGTGGCGAAAATTGCATCGCCGGATTGTTGGGGCCACAGATTTGTTTGGCCTAGGAGGTTTTCGACATTCCGAGCACTAAAATTTTACCCTACCCAATGACAGAGCCTTTAGGCGACTCGAAATTTTTCTTTTTGCTTTTTTGTTATACTAGATGACTCAAATTGGGCTTTTTTCGTTTTTTTATTGTTATTTTGATTGAATAAGGGTTTCTCTACTGATTTTTCGGACTTCGTAAATTTTCGCGAAGTCATGGGGGACTTCGTTTTTGAAAAAGCTCCAAACCAACGCGTGCCGGGCCCTGGGTAGGGACCGATAAAATGACTCGATGCCATAGGTAACAATGCGCAAGATTGAAGGGGACGAGTTTTACATTAATTGGGTTCCGTACGCATCGTCTTGTCCCTCCACCCCCCCCCCCCTCCTAAGCCTGGGTATACCAGCTTGAGTAATACCTACCAACTACCTTCCGTTTCTCACTTACTTATTCTCTTGTGCTTAGTAATATACCCGTAAGACTCGGCATTTGTGTACTCTTTGTCTCTCTAATAAACGTGTCGTGAATTACAAATGTACATGTGCGCGGTCACACCACAATAGCGACCAAATGTACGGTTATCTTTTCGATGCTGAACATTTCATAGACATCAAGCGTTATCACTATCTTTTGCTTAAGTTACGCTTTCACTCATTTAGCCCGTAGACCATAAGCTAATCGATTTTGCAACTTTAACTATTAGCCATCATCAAGTCACAGCTTGCGTATTTCGTAACAATCAAGAAGCATTGCGTGGAATCTACGTGTAATAGTTTAAGAAAATGGTGCAAATGAGATAATCTACGTAACTTTTCGGTTCTGGACAACTAGGGTTAGAGTAGCACCTCTTACTTAACCTACGCCATTTGTTAATCGCCTTGGGTAACCATTTACATAATTTAACACGACTATTTGCAGAAGTACGGTACTTACAAATAAGGATGCAGAAGGAAAACAGCACAAATCTTACGGCACATAGACTGTACTGCAATTGAACAAGAGAATTAGTAACTAGTAAGTTCATTCAAATATTTGTCATTACGTTATACCGCTTTCTTCTAAATTTGCCGGCATTAATTACCTTCAATTCTTTACACGAGTGTGGCTCCCACATTTAGGGATGGCTATGGTACACATTTGTGGTACACTCCTTAGTACATGTTTACAGTACTGCTCAAACAATTTTCATGCACTTACTTTTGTTCTAGTAATTTACAAACTTCTTTTGTTTATCAATCAGTTCGTATCAGCCATTTCCTGGTTTTCAATTTACAATGGCGTCGGAACTAGCAATAAGCTATTTTGCTAAACGTAGCGCAACATTGGTTCATCTTCGATCTGTAACACATGCTATTTATCCACTATGGAGTGTACCATAGCCATCCTTCAACTAACTCTTACTTACGGACGCAGTTTACTTTTTCATCAGCTCTCAGTGCCCAGGCTCTAGAATATACGCAGATCTTTTGTCCATTTAACTAGCTAATCGATAGTAAGCGCCAATTCTGCCCCGTCTAAGTAGATAACATCCTAGTAGAACAGTAATATGTCATTATTTCAATATGATCTTACTTATGCTACTATATTCATAACATGTAGCATACATTCCTAAACTTTTGCAAATAAACAAATAATCAATTTCGCATACCTCTTGGAACATTTAGGTTGCTGGTTACTAATTTGCGTTGAAACTCGGCCCCCATTATATGGTCATAGTGTCGCTGCGCGACAAAGAACTGAATTTCGGACTTTAGAGATTTTTAGCATAATTATCAAACTTACAGACATGTTACAAGTTGCTCCGTTTTTGTTCACATAAAGAATTTCTGCAGCTAGAAGATCACGTTCTGAGTCAAAAAGCGGTTTGGAGTAATTCAAGTTGTCGAACAGACGTTGCAAAGCCTGGCCTTTTGATAGGCCGAAAGGCAGGGGCAAATTGATCACCTGCAGCAAATACAATGTAAAACATATTTTCCACATGAAAATAAAGCACTAACAAGCAACCAATTAGTCCTCGACATACGGCGGACTAATTCCAGTTCTTTAGTTGAGGCGTCCTGCTGATCCTTCATTTGAATTTGTTGTTTCTTCAGCTGATCCAGAGCAGAAGCTAATGAAACCAAAGCGGTAGATAGCTCAGAGTTAAGATTGCTGTCTCCAAGAATATTGCGGACGGCACCAGCCACATCAATAGAAGACATTATCGAATACTAGACTAGATAACCAGATAGCGCCTCATATACCGTTAGTGAGATGGACTAGGTCACCTCAGGCGTTTTATTGATTATATTGATAAAGGGCGGGAAAGGAATAGATCCAGAGTTTCCTTATCTACAGTGTTTATATTTCAGAAATAATACTATCACTAAATGATTTTAGTTAACATGGCTTACTTCCACTAAGTATCATTTACTTCCCACATCACATAATCAGATGTTGGTCACCCTCTAGCATCAAGAGTTAGAGAAGGCACATGGCCTTTTGGTGACATACAACATCGATGACCTACTCCTGTAATAATACGATGTCATATATTCATTAATTGTAAGAGTAGTCCGCGTTCCATCAAAAACCAAGCCAACAAAACCACGACAAATAACTCCATAAACCCATAAACATGTTAACACTTCACAAGGAGGTCACATAATTAACAAACAACTGCAAATAAAATAATGAAGATTAGATTCGGTGCTCGCATGATAACTCAAAAAGATTGAAAACATATTTATAATACAATAAACTTAGTAACACACTTAACACTTAACACAAAAACATTCACATACAAATACAAATGCAAATAGTCATTTACTAACACACTGCATACATGTACACATTCATTTATAACACCTACATTACACACATATTCACATACACATACGCAGAGGCTGTATCATAACATCTCAGATTGATGCTTATACACGATAACATATACATCTACTAACAAACATTACCTATATATACATGTACATACGTTCAGACTTATATAATACACAAAACTATGTACATACATACATCACATGCTTTCATTCCTACAAGAATTAGAATGAATATACAATAAACACACATCACATAGACAACTTACATACACACATAATATATAAACATAATAACATAATAATATATAAACACAAACTTACTTTAACTTCGACGTTACATACATACAAACATAAGAACTACAGAAATACATATACTCAAGTATATCTCCATACATATAAAATGGACAAATAAGACATATGCAATACAAGACAACAAAATTTACGGACAAGAACCAGATCCCACATTCCAACTCTCAAAGTATCGCTGTGCTATCAGAAACAAAATCCGCTTAAGTAATTTAAAAGTTCGGGAGAACCCTGGCGTGGTGTTGGGCATTAAAATCCAATGCGGTTTGCACCACGGGTAGCGCTCCCCTGCGATGAAGAGGCTTGCCCTAGCCGAGGAGGAAATATCCTCTGATAAGGAAACCGCATAAGAGTCCAGGAAGGACCGCCTCCGACTCAATGGATTCAGGTCCGCCAACAACGAAACAAGTAACAATACATGTTTAATGTTGTCTGCGTCTCAAGAAAACAGAACGAACCACCAATACAAAGTAGTAAACACACCTACATATACTTCCTACACAGGAGTAAGATGTGCAAGAAGAACTTGCAACATATGCGATAAAATTAATTTTGACAACAAAGCTAAAAGTTCAACAACAAATTATTTCTTCAAGACAAATAAACCAGAACTAGCCAATTGTGACTCTAGGAATGTAGTTTACATGATTACGTGCTTGACATGTAAACAGCAATATGTAGGAGAAACAGCACAGACTTTGAGACAACGGATCAATCAACACAATAGAAGCTTCCGAAATCAAACTTTAACAACATTCATGGTGGAACATTACAAAGCTAGTAAACATAATCCTTCAGAAATAACAATTGATATACTAGATAGTACAAACACAAGGGATAAAATAGAACTGAGAAATAAAGAACTGCAATGGATCAAGTACATGATAACAGCATATCCATTCGGATTCAACGACCAAATCAAAGGATATGGCAATATCTCAGACTCCATAAATCCTTTGGAAAAGAAAGAACACCCATACTTTCGTAATCCCGTACATATCCAAAGATTCCGAGGGAAGAAAAGAAGATCAAGAAAGAAAGGTACATGTCCTAACAGAACTGATGAGATTATCGATAGAATGAACGAACTGCAATCATATAATCTATATAAATATTTCAGAACTCTAAACAAACACGACATTAATAGACTAATAGACCTAACATTTGACTCGAAGTTTATAAAATTCAGTTATGAATTGAAGCACAAAATATATGCTTTGGTAGCGAAACCATTTTGGAGCGGAAAAGAACAAAAGATTAAAGAAGTCAGCAATATATACATAACTGTCCCGTACCTTGGGAATGTTGTTGACAAGTTAAAATTAAGAAACTTGTGTAATAACAGAGATGTGAAAGAGGCTATAATTACAGTCGTACCTAACAAAAAGAAAGAAGTGTACGATATGAAAGTCGGAATAAGATACGAATTAAATGAACCCATTGGATTAAAATTATGTAATTACAATAAATTTCTTAGAAATATTAACAACAATATCGTTAATAATATACTTATTAACGACTGTGCATGCAAATTGTATAAAGAGTATATTGATGTGGATTTGGGGCACGTATGTACAGGGAATATTAATATTATTGAAGATTCAAAATTAAGACAAATATTTAGTAAAGGCTACAAATACAGAATGCATCGTTTAGTGACGAAAGAAGATTTATTGAAGTTTATAAGAAATTTGGCACATCATTTGGCACTCAAAATAAGAAGTAATCTAAAGTTGAGTGGTTCAACAGAAGAACTTTTAGAAAGTAAAATAGAAAGGACGTTTACTAATAAAGTTAAGCCAAAGCTTCATAAACTATGTCAACGGGAAGTGCTTGAAAATGAAGGATATAAAAGAGAGGAATTGCAAAAAATACAAAAACACTTTGTAATTACAACAACAGATAAGGCTAGCTCCAATTTCGGTTTTACATGCAAAAAATTATATTTGATTATGATACAGAAGGAGTTGGAACAAATCAACTGTGAAGAGAAAACATATGTGCGTACGCAATTGGGTCTAGATGAAGTAAGAAGAATACATGAAAGAATTTTAAAAGGGCTGAATGTGAAAGTAAATAATCATTATAATGAAGTACCAAGAATTTATGGAATTCCGAAGATGCATAAGGTGCCAATTAAATTCAGATACATTACAGGAGCCAAACACAGCACATTGAAACCTTTAACTAAACTTTTGACACTTATACTTAGCCACATCAGGAAGCATTTCATGAACTATTGCAATGTTATCTTCCAAAGAAGTAAAATTAAACATTTTTGGGCAATTAACAATAGCACAACAGTAGTAAAGGATCTTAGTGGCAAGTCAGGAAATTACAAAGTTTTTTCTGCAGACTTTTCAAGTTTGTTCACAAGCCTACCACACTCGGTGGTACGGAAAAATTTGCATAAACTTATAACATTATGCATGAGAGGATACAAATTCATAAAAATTAATAATAGGCTAATAACTTATTCCAATTCAAATACAGCTAAAGGAATTTACTATCAGATAGAAGACGTACTATATATGATAGACGCCCTTTTACATAATAGTTATCTAAGCTTTGCGGGTGTGATCTATAAGTAGGAAAGAGGAATTCCACAAGGAGCATCATGTAGTCCACAAATGGCAGACTTAACTTTAGCTTATATGGAATATGAGTATGTTAGAAGGATGGTAGCCAATAGGAATTCGGAAGACTTATATAGATTCAACAACACCTACAGATACATTGACGATGTCTTACACATTTCGGAAGAACCTATTATATTCGAACAGTCATTACAAGAATTATATCATAATGAACTTATCATAGAAAAAACTAACACAAATGATACCGAAACCAACTTTTTGGATTTGAACGTACAAGTAATAGATAACAATATATCATTTAGTTTGTATAACAAAACGGATGCGTACAACTTTGAAGTGTTGAGGTACCCGGTATGGCAATCCAATGTCCCAAGATATATCATCACTAACACTTTCAAAACTGAAACACTTAGAATTTACAGAAACTGTTCGGATTACATAACCTTCAAAGACAGGATACTGCAATTATGCAAACTTTGTAAGAAAAATGGTTGGGAAAGAAGAATATTAATTAGAACATTATGTAATACTTTAAGAGACAATCCTTGCATACTGCGTAAATATGGTTTTGATGTAGCCCTTCATATACCATTAGTCCACGAAATAGGGGAACTCTGGATAGATTCCGGTTAATAGGAACAATATATGACACAATACAAGGTCAACAATCGTGTTGTTTGCGAACGTAGGAGCCCAACATAATATTGCAATCAAACTGTATATTAGGTAAGCACCAACTTTTAAATTTATGACAACTTATGATAGCTTAATCTTCTATAAAACTAAACCATGCCTCCGCATTTGGTTAACCAGCGCTAGAACATTTGATCTTCAACGTATTGCAACCGTATCAGCGCGCCTGAATAACTAGGTCGCATTCAAACTCAATATATAACAACAGTATGAGTCTTGAGATCTCAGACACACACTATTACAATATCTTCTCGCATTTTCTGCCAGCGTCATTGATGATCTTTTGTTCCTAAGCATCATCCTCTTACATTTTTTACTTTAGTTTTAGACAGTCTCCCGTTTCTATTTACCTTTTACAATCTTTTACAATCTCTTGAAGGAATGCACTCAAAAGTTTTGCAACTGAACCATTTACACAACTTTTGCAGCTTTCTTGGGAACTACTGAAGAGGGGCACCAAGAAAGCTACTCCACCGGTATAGTTCTAAGCCCCGAAACCGGTTGAGTGTAAAATTGTTTGAAAAAATTCATTTTAATTTCAATTCAAGCCTTAAGAACTAATGCATATAGTAATTTTCATTCTTCAATTCCCCTTTAGGGTTTTCCATAGCGTTTATTAGCGACTGAAAAAAGACTGGAGTTCATCCCTATCATTTGTGCCCGATAGCATAAGCAATGCTGTTAAAACAGTAGTTTGGAAGCACAATTAGGAACTGATGTCATCTTTCAAAGTATCGCCATTTAGAAAGCCACCAGCTCCAAATAGATCCTATGCTGCACACGCAACCT